GTGGGAAAAACAGAGCATTCAGCTGAGACCTGATGCTATATTTACCAGACTTTTAAAATTGACACGCAAAAATAAAGATTTTTCGCTGAGTCATATGCCGTGGTGAGGACAGAAGAATAGGAATAAGATAAAGAATACGATTATTTATCAAGTGACTCACTCCTACCTACAAAAAAGTTTGAAAGGAAACTTTAAGGCCAACTTTCAAGTAACTACGTCATTTATCCAATGTGAAAAGCATATCAGGCAATAGGTTTAAATACAACTTTTAATCGTTCTTTTTCTACACTTTAACATTTTACTTTGTCTTCTGTCTTTTATAAAACGTTATGGGGGTAAAGGGGTTTTAAGAAAAATAATTCCATCAATTCCATTAAATAGTACTAAAGCAAAAAGGCAACAGAAAACTTGTACAATCAAAGTCAGTACAAATAACCTCGGTCAGATTTCCTATAACCGACTACTAAGGTCCGAATTTGTAATGTTTGCTTTTTGATTAATAAATAAAGGCTGTGGGATGCAGCACACATTTCCGATCACCAGTGTCATATCTTTCAATAAAAACATCCGATTTTGTTGAACAATGCCAACAAAGATTTGGTTTTATAGCCATTGAAGCATTTTTTTCTAGCAGCCAACAATTGCTAGATGAAACAGATACTTTAAAATTGTCCCATTTTCTGTGTCATGAGATATAGTATGTAGTCATCTGCCGACATATGCTATATATGTGGATATACTGTATATGTGAGGGTAAAATTATCATTATCACACATAGAAAAGACATCGACTGCATGGAAAATGCTAACTATTAATTCACTTTTACAGGGGGGGGAAATGAAATACCAAGGGACATTCGATGAATAACAGAAGGCTTAATGTTACCTCCCAACAGACTACATTTTTATATTTCAAATTAATTTGAAGTAGTCCTCAGAAGAGTAGGCCTATTATTATCTCTCCACGGAGTACTAGCACCAGCTCCCATTCTGACGAGTCTCTTTAGTTATCCTTTTCAAGATCATTCGTTTTATTAAGCACTTGACTTTGATCCGTGTCCCACATGGAAATCTCTCGCAAATCCTCAAATTGTTTGGGTGAAGATAAAATGGCTACATAAAATGAAGGGATTATTCTGTCACCACGGAGGATTTTAGTGGGTTCACACTAATGTTTTAGGAAAGAAAGATCACCTCTTTCTGTTTCAATGCACTTCATCCAGCATGATTTCTACCTTTTGGGATACAATGCTAAATCCTGTGATAATAATGAACAGTTAAAAAAATTGAATGAGCAGCAGCATAATGCTCTCAAATGAGACTAACATGGAAGTGGCCATTCACAGCAATGGCTGTGTAATTTGCCGCTTTTAAGCCTCTGTGGTTTAAAAGTTTGAGCATCTCCGCTGTAATCCATCAATGTAAACTAATTGTGTCCTGGTTTTGTGCCAAAACATTTTGTACCACTCAGGCAGTTAGTATGATACCCGGTTCCCAGAAAATGTATATTTCAATCGATTAATTCAGTATCAACATTTAGCCGAATTAGTATTAAAATGATAGCTACAAATGTTGATTTGACAGATATTGATTATTTGATGAAATTATGGAAACAAAGGCCAACCAATGAGAAAATGGTCTGTGCATAATGTCAGCATAAATTGCAGCAGTGTAGAGGAATCCTCTAAAACCAGAGTAACATCTGTATTTATCCTTAACTCATGTCTTTGACACAGTGGTGCCTGACAGTTAGAAGGATGAGGGTCCTCGGCCAGTGAGGGCCAATAAAATGTCCTTTCAGAATTCACTGTATCTTAGCTTTCTGTCTGCTACCAAAGATGTTAAACCATCTCATGTTAGATTATTTATGCTGCTGCTGAGCGTGGGCATGCATGTAGCAAAAACCTCCTTAGTTGCAAGAGTTGACACAGTTAACAGCTAAAACTATTAAAATATATATGTTTAACAGGAATGCACAATGAAGTAATTAACAGACAAAGAAATTGTATTATAGGAGCACTCCAGATACTCACCTAGAAGAGTGCGCACCACCATGAATTAAGGCCTTATCGCTGTGTTAAATGTAAACTCTTTGTCCCTCTCTCATCCCTGCACATTGTTGTTTTTCTTACGACCATCAAAATGATTTACATCTGTTATGCAATTGATGTTAAATAAATTCCTGCACTGTTCTTCCGGAGGTATCTTTCAGTTCTTGTTTCCTGGTAATTGGGTTTTTGTCTGAATTGTAGGTCTAGAGAAAGAGGGTGTCATGAGGCTTTATAAATATAATGAACTTGACTTGACTTTAATTCTGCTTTCTCGTGATCATTATGTGTGAACTAGTTTGGTAATGACTTGAGATCAACAGGTCACCTCCACCATGAGGCTGCAGATTTGGACTCTGATGGACCAATTATTCCTGCTCACAGAGGGTGGAAGGCAAAAACACAATTTCCATTCATATATAAAAGTACTGTTCATTGTTTCTGAATCAAATCAGATTTTTACAGTTGAACACAGGGATGAATAATAGTACGCTAACTGTTTCTGAATGGACACATACTGCCCTCTGGTGGCTAAATGTTTTACATCAGTCTTTTTTACTTTCAGTTTCTCACATTTCCCCAAAGAGTCCTCTCACCTGTAGAGGGCCCCCTTTCCAAAGTTATTGTACCTTAATTCTACTTTTTCTCTGTGACGCGATCACACAGGTTGATGCAAACCCAGTATATAAGAAACACTTTGAATAACCTGACTTGTTGCACACAAAATTAGGAGAATGTGATGTGACAATGTAAGGAAGAGAGGAAACATTTCAGTCCCCAAGCAGCCACAGCAGATGGCATTTCCAAACCAATCACCATTTCAGATTCTATTGCCCAATCAGTTTAACATTTATATGTAAAGTAGCTTACTATTCCAGCTGATCAACAGATGGCTGGAAAGGTATGCTATGGGACACTTATGTAAAGACTTCATGATTTCCTTTTCTCATTTCAACCAAAAAACAGATTTTGAAATAGGAAATTGGAGGCAATGTGTGGACGCTAAAAGACAAATGATGTGATTTCCTCTTGTGACTGTAGAGAAGGTGTCATGTGTAATGGCTTGAGATAGTGTTTGCTACACTTGAGAATGGAGGTATTTCTTTGTATTGTATTATTTAGTTTTAGATCAAACAGAGGTTCCTGTATAGCCCACATCCCAGAGTGAAATCAGTCTCCAATAGTGCAGATCATATGCAGTTCCTTATACTGCAATAAGTAGTAGCAATACTTCAGTGATGATACACTCTAATTTCGAAAATCCCTGCATTGATAATCTCACCAAAGGAAAAGTATTATTAGCTAAATGCACTGAAAACATCACATGTGAAAGTACTCAGCGTTACAATGTTTTAAATAAATATTTCTGATGCATTTATGTTTAAAGAGCATTTTACTTTTGGTCAAGATGCAGATAAATTGACCTACTTTATATACTGCTGAGTAGTTTATTCTAACAGCCAACATATGTTATGAGAAACTTCATTTTTTTGTTAATCTGAATCTGTAAAGTAAGAAGTGACAACATTGTTTGGATAAATGCAGTCATTGTCATAAAGTACAATATTTACCTCTGAATTATAGTAATATCAGTCGAAAAGAAAAAGGCATGTAATGGAAATATTTAAGTAAAGTTTTTACTCAAACACAATACTTGAGTACTGGTGCTTCGGCAGTAAGCACTGATTTGCTGAGTTGCATATCAAAAAATGTCAAACTTCATGGTCAAACGAGGTTGAATGTGGTTATATATAAATATTGTTTCAACAGCATATCAACAACTACATTTAAGTGTGAAGCATGTCTTAATTATATATAAATATGTAGTTAAAACAACAGTTTTATGCTAAATAATGTCTAAAAACGTTCTCTTTTCAACCACATTTGGCCCTTCACATCTCGAATTTGAACGTGTAAATCCCCAAATCAATGCTTACTGAGTGAATCATCTGCTCTAAATCAGTGACTACATTTCCTGCTCTCGCTCTGTATCAGTCCTATGTTTTCTTTACTAAATATATCCAGTTGATTAAAGCACAGACATAACAGAAGACAACAGAGCAAACAAGACTGTTAAATGTTGCTGTTAAATCCTTTGGCCCAATTTCATTCAAATGAAACCACACAATGGAACTTTCCTTCTGTTTAATAAAACAATACTATAAGAGAGTCACATCAAATCTGACTACAAACTAAATGCATGGGAACACCTCCCTCGCCGGAAAGTGAAAATGTTTCCAGAATTGTTGGAAGTTTACTTGCAATCTGCTACATATGGGTTTTGTGCTACATCCATCACATAAGAATCAGTCATTTAACAATCATAATCTCTTCATATTAGAGTGCGTTAATGCTGAATAATGCACGTTAAAGTTATTCTGTCCCCCTTCAATAATAGGTAATAAAGGATTTATAAATTCACTGAGCTAAGAAGCCACATATCTCATGTGCTTGGTGAAAGATATTTAAGGCTTTTTTTATATAAAAGTAAAATGACATCTTCTAGCTATGGCATGAAAAGTGATTTTTTTTCTGATGCAGGAGCGCAGTCCACTGAGGATATTTTACATACCATAACTGAACAGGTAATACAGTCATTAATAAGCACTAAATCCAAAAACTGTTGTTAAAACTGTAGTTTAAAAGCCCATCTGTTTGCAGCACTCATGCATTCACATTGTGTGCTTGACATTCTCTTTAGCATGCACTTTACTTCCCCTAGCATGCCAGCAACACAGCAGAATCACTAACATAAATAATCTGATGGTGAAGGAAGATAAGAAATGTAACCTTTGCCTAACAAAATAAATATCTTCAATAGCCACAAAAGACAACTTATTCGTTTAACAGAACCAGTGTCTTCTGACATGCAACAAGGTGTGACACAAAAGGAAGGGTCATTGAAAATACTGTATACAGTCTGTGCAAACACTCTGCCTCACTGTGGTGCTCTTTACATCGACTTTCTCCTCAAACGAGAGAACTCGCGGAAGCTGTGCCCAGGAGAGAGCGTGCTTCCTGGGGAAGAGAGTCCAGTGTTGTCCCTGGAGCCCGGTGAGCAGCCCTGGATCCTGTAGGACACTGAGTTATAATAAACAGAATTGAGATGGCAGCCGTGGTGTTCACCGTGGGACAAAAGAGGACTATCACAAATCCCCAAACGGTAGCACACACAGGAGCAGAGGGAGCTGAGGCTCGACTCCGGCCTGTCTCTGCCTGCCTTGATCTGAAAACGCAGCCTGTGTCTGCAGGGGCTTCTTCTCTCCTGGTCCTCCGCTGGGGTAGCAATGAGGTTAGTGCGGCTGGTTCCTTCCTCCATCGGGAGGAAGAGCGTACTGTGGCTTCGACTTTGCACCGCGTTGCTCCTGTTCCTCTCTCTGTAGTTGCCTCTGCTCTGTTCTACAACATGAAGACTCAGAGAGCCATCTATAAGGCCTCTGTCCCTCTTCAGCGAGGCCCTCTCCTGAGCATCTCTCCGCTCATCCTCAGTGTTCATGGTGAGGAAGCGAAGCACCACCAAGTTCAGGAAGGCCCCGATGACAGTCAGCCCCACCAGGATGTACATGAAGCTGAATGCCACGTAGGGGGTTTTCTCCTGGAGGTCCTCCTTCTTCTGCAGGGCCACAAAGTCCCCAAAGCCAATGGTGGTGAGTGTGATGAAGCAGTAGTAGTAAGCGTGGAAGAAGCTCCATCTCTCAAAGTGTGAGAAGGCTGCAGCCCCAACACACAGTGTTCCAATGCAGGACAGGAAGCCCACCAGCACCATGTTCTCCATGGACACCTCGGTGCGGCGACAGCCCAGGCACTGCTTCACCTTATGGAGCAGATAGCGGACAAATGTGTTCATCCTTTCTCCCAGGCTCTGGAACATGACCAAAGTGAGAGGAATGCCCAGCACAGCGTAGAACATGCAGAAGACCTTCCCTGCATCTGTGCCTGGAGCTGCATGTCCATAACCTTAATGCAGAGAGGTGGAAATGAGAGGAACACTGTGAGGAATAATGTAGCAAGGCATGGATCGATTTTTTGTTGTTGTATTAGCCTGCAATTTAAACAAACCTTTAATGTTGTATTTATGGAGAAACTATTTTAAATTCTCAACTGTAATAGCAACAGATTAAATCAGTACCTCTCATCTCTAAAGACATAAGAATTACATCCACTTACCAATGGTGGTGATGACTGTAATGGCAAAGTAAAAAGAGCCAGCAAATTTCCACTGTCTCCCGGCTCGATGGGGCTCAGCTTGCAGCACCACTCGCTCGATTTCGTAGTAGTCGTCCTCGGAGAAGCGGTACTTCTTCTTCATCTCGTTGCGCTTCTGCTCCAAGATGCGTCTGCGGGAGCTCTCCGACTCGGACTCCAGCGCGTCAAACACCGCGGCGCCCACCAGCAAGTAGGAGAACATGCAGAGGATGAGCGACAGGGTCCGGATGTTTTGCTTCTTCATCCTCGGTGTCGGCATGAAAGTGGGGGTTAGACGGGCACAGTTACAGGTGGTACTGCTCCTCAGCGTGCACTCCACATTGGTGCTGAAAGCCTGTTGCGTAAAACGTAGTAGCAGGAGAAGCGTGCGGGGAAATAAAAAACTACGAAATGTGTCTTACTAGGTTCAGATGTTTATGGGAAAACGCGCATAACCTGCTGTGCGCATTGAGAGCGATCGATACCCTCAACACAGTCATCTGTTTAAGCAAGTGGCATCAGCTTTCTTCTTCGCATGCGCAAAGCAGGTCCAAATTTAAAAAGCTGTGTGTAATGTAATGTATGAATAAGACACATGGTCAGCTTTTGCACCAATGTTCAGTCTTATCACAGCTGTGTGCAACAAGTGAGGTCCCGACTCGACCCGGCAGATACCAATCCAACATGAGGAGGGGGGTTCAGCACCGTGGACAGCGTCTGAACTTAAAACTGCGCATCCAAAGGTGGAGATATCCAGCGGCTGAGAAACACGACAACCAGGTTCAATGCAACTACGCACACCATGACTGAAGTTCTCAGATGTGAAGCTCAAATACTAATGTCCAGGTAATATGTTGGAAACCAAAATTGCTGTGTTATATTGTGTTTTCTTGCCCAAAATAACAAAGCACCAAAAATAATGACATAGTAAAACTGTTGTTACTTGATTTATGAGTACATTTAAAATGGTTAATTCTGGGTTAATACCAATTCTGAGCTCAAGGCATAAAGGAAAAGGCCATTTCAAGTAATGATGTCATCTTGTGTGAATTATAATCATTTCACATCTTAGAAAATTAAGTAAATACAAATAATAAAGACCTTTTAGGTCATTGTTAGTAAAAAAAAAAGCAAGTGAATAGTGAAGATATTAATTGTGTGTGTGTGTGTGTGTGTGTGTGTGTGTGTGTGTGTGTGTGTGTGTGTGTGTGTGTGTGTGTGTGTGTGTGTGTGTGTGTGTGTGCCACATTGCTACACTAGATGCTTCTGGAAACCTACTGTACTGTAGATGATGCCGGTTGCCATGGTTACTCATACTAGAAGCACAGACTTAAACTGGAGCTAATATGTTAAGCGTAATGATCTGGGCCCTCGTTGTGTGAATTATGTTGTCATTACATCACAGCATCAAGTCACAAGTCATTATTCCGGCAAGATTTCTGTACCAAGACAAACATGGAAAAATAAATAGATACACCACATATTAAAGTGAATAAAAGCATCACCCTTATGTCACATTTGGTATAGCACATACTAGGATTACTTTGTTTTCTTCTGTTCTAAAACAGAGCAACCTGCTCTCAGCGGCCCTGTTTCCGTGTTAAGTGGCTAAATCAGCACACTTGCATCCCTGTTGTGATTCAAACCAGCTCTCCATAAATCAATTACATCTCGGCTGATAAGAGAGGAACCTGAAGCCCTAACAGCCGCCCATCAATCCACACAGCGTGCATTCACATCCTTTCAAAGCCCCAGGACCTGGAACAAAGTGAGGAGGCCCATCAATCCCCATCAGGCCCGGGCTCAAGGATAAGTATTTAGACTCAAAGAGATGCTTCATTGATTTTGTTTTTGCTCGCTCTGTTTTCTCGGCTTTTTCCCTTACATTTCATCTTCACACAAACACATTAGCAGGTCATTTACAAGGAACAATGAGACAAATGAAGAGGTTTATGCCATCAACTGTCCACATAATCACTCACAATGCCTCATGGTTTTTTTTCTTATTTATAATATTGACTTCTGGCAGATTATGAGACAATGACATTCAAAAAGCCCTACATAAGAGACAACCAGATTTAAAAGTGTATTTTGCCTATGTGTTGTCATTAAGCATCTCTCTGTTGTTTTGTTTCTCTTTGTGGTTATTTTTTAGTCATTTTATCTATTGCTCTCATTTTGTCATTTTAAAGTTGTTTTTTATCCTCAGTCTCTGTTGTGATGCGGAAAAAATGCAGATGGTATAAAAACATTTTTGAAGATGCCCATGGTATCATGCAGAGAACAAGAAGACCTCTCCGCCTGAAGGCATATTTCTCTACTAAATAAAACCCATCTGCCAATTCTGCAGGGGGGGAAATGCAAATTTCACAAAATCCAGGAGAAAGGCTTATAGAAATTAAGCTCCTCTGTAGAAGCTCAACTTTAAGGATTGAAAGGTGGTGTTTAGCAGCTGTGCTTTGACAGGGACAGGAGAAAAGTGTGTGCACACACCTGTTGTCAGAGCAGTGAGTGAGACAGGTTGAGGACCTGAAGACACAAAGATATGTGGACAGTTGTGAACTTAACTACAAAGACTTTAATTAGTATAGTGATCCGCTGGTTTCCTGTGACTAAAGCAGTTTAGGATTTAGGACACATATGTTAAAAACTTGATATAAATTTAAACAGAAGATCTCACTTGCTATTGCACACTTTAAAAAGTCATGCCTTCAAAAGTACGCAAAAGTACATACATTTAAGCATCAAAAACATCATTTATGTACCAAAAGTAAAAACGTATCGTATCCTATAATTTTGTTGGTGAATTATTATTATTGGTTGTGTTAATAATTAGAATCTGCAAAGAAACTTCAATTCAAATGTAATTAAAGGGAACTAAATGTACCTTTAAAATAGTACTTAAAGGTGGGGTAGGTATGTTTGAGAAACCGGCTCGAGATACACTTTTTGTTATATTCCATGGAATGCTCTTAACATCCCGATAGCAATGAATATCTTAAGTGCTTTGACAAAAAATCCATAAAAAAATGTCATCTGTGGAAGCCATAGTACTGTAAAAAGCACGACCAATCATTTTAGCCGGCCCGGCTAAAATAACTGGATGGCCTACCTGCCTGTCAGCCTTCCATCTGTGCACAAACTTATCTCGTGCCCTCATTGGTCATGTGCGCGTTCGTGTGTGTTGGAGGAGGGGCTCTGTAAGGAAGTGGCAGATTTCTTCCGGCTGTGTATTTTCAAATTCTAGCGCACTCGAGCTGGTTTCTCCAAAATTACCTACCCCACCTTTAAAGCTTCTGGAAATCTGTCTTCAAATAGTACAAATGCAAACTTGATATAAAGGTTGAGTGTCTCATCAAGCATCTACAAAAGAGAAAAAACAAATGTTGATATCTTCACTTGAACTGAGCAGTGTTTGAGTGAACTGACTTTGTTACTTTCTAGGTTAGCATCTACTTTCCACTAATGTGTGTACAACTACTAACACATTTCTCCATTGTACGGAAATACAAATTAAACAAATTAAATCTTACATTCACATAGAAATGGCGATTCATTTTATTATACGGTTTGGCTACCTAAAATGGGGCGAAGCCTGTGAGCTAGTTCAGGCAGTCAACTCGAGCATTTATGCTGCATTCATACATAACGCCACTTGCCACTCTACAACCAACCAAACAGAGCCTCCTTAATATGCCGCTCTATTTAACCTGCCAGATATCTCTCTATGCATTGCTTGCTGCTGGTTCCCAGCTTCCACCTGTAGGCTCGGGGGGGGGGTTGGTTATTTAATCGTGCTATGTATCTGTGGAGTGATGAGGCCCGAGCCTAGATGCCAAACTCAACTATATGCTGCTTCTAATAAACATGTTAAAGAAACACGTGAGTTGTCTGACTGAAATGGTTATTATGGGTAATTAAACTGTGTTACAGCTTGTTATGCTTCAGTGCCTTTGTGTTTGGTTGCTATCGATTTGGTAGCGGTACAGATGTTTCCTATAGGAAAATATTCTGAGCCTCAGTTTAATAAATCAGTTTGAAACCAGCTAGTAGTTTCTAAGAACTTGGGAAGGACTTTAAACACAAACAGGTACTGTATTTGACAAATAGCTGCTGTAACCCATTTCCCCCACATGACCCTCGACTCCACCCATAAGGCCCCAGCAACAGGAAGCAGGGACGCTCGCAGTTACAAGGGGGGAGGTAGAGAGGAAAAGTCACTAAATTCCTTTCAATCTCATATAAATGCAGCCAGACTGGGATTACATCATTTTAAAATCTCTTTACATATTTACAAATCGTTCCATCTGCATGAAAGTCTCTGAGAACAAGAGAACATGGAATTCATTTTATAAAGCAGACACTAAATAGCTACAGCAAATACTGGATGCCTGCAGAGCCCGCTGGTTTCCACAGTAACTAACACCAGAAATAGAAACCCACACCAGCGGCCATTCAAAATTGAATCCCCCTGTGATAATACACGAGTCTATTTATACCTTTTGATGGCGAGATACTGCCTTGTATAAATGCTACTGTCCAATTACTGTCAGAAGATGGAAATCATGGTCGAATGATGATGATCCTCATACCCTTGAATCATTTGTGCTGCTGGTGCATACAAATGATGACACATGAATAGTAAAGAAATTACACGACACTCAGGAAGGATTAGTGTGTCAGATACCAACACTTCCTCACACCTCTGGGAACAAATCTTCCCAAAATTCACAAATAGACATCTACAAAACTAAAAGTCTTTCTGGCGTAAATAAAAGGAGGCTGAATTATTGCTGGACTGTTTGTTTGTTTCTGACAAAAAATGAAGATGTAAAACTGACCTGCTTAATCTATATCAGTCCTTTTTTCTGTATACGTTTATATTATTGTCTATATTAAAATGTATGTACATTGGAAATGTGTATGTATAGATTTCTATTAATTTGTTCTATTCTGTCAATATTCATACTTTGGCAATTCTGTATGCAATCTTTCTAACTTTCAAGGACAGTACCACTCTTGAATCAAAGTCAAATAATTAAAAAAGGATAAATCTACTATTCACACGCAAACGAATTAATTAAAGTGGACCTATCATGCTATATTTAAATGATATATTGTAGGGCCATACCTATATAAGGTATATTTATACGTTTCTGTTTTCAAAATACCAAACAGATCATGCATTTTAGCCATGTCTCATTTCGCTCTATTTGCTGTTCCCCAGCCCTGTTTTTGCAGGGGGCTGATTCTGTGAGCTGCAGTTGACCACGCCCCCCTGCAGGAGAGGGGAGCCGCTCTGATCAAGTCAGAAGAGGGGGAGAAAAATAGATCTCCGTCCTGCGTGTTTTATTATAGCCTATTATTATATAGAGTCGTTATTCATTTGTTTTAAAGCTCAATAAATAACAAAGAAGACCTTTGACCGGCACTTTTCTAATTTTGTCCGGAAGATTTAAACTTTAACGGACATCTTGACCAGCGAAAGAAAACCTAACTGAAACTCTGCTGCACGGTCCCCTCGTTCCTTGGAAGAGGCGGAGAGGTGGGTGTTTGTCATCTGCTGGTGGACTAACCGGAGAGAATTACAGTGCTTGCCTCGACGGAGGGATTGCATTGAATTAAAGCAGCAGGAGCAAACGCTTGCCTCGGGGAGGGAGAAAAAAAGCCACAGCGGAGAATAAACAGAAGGGTAACCATGGTAACCATGCGCGGGAAGTCTTCTTCGCTGCTTTTGCGGCAGACTACAGCGCCATTTACAGGCCTGGCATATGTACTACAGCGTCTCCAGCACTTTCGAGCGGCAATGGCCGGCCGTGGCCCAACCCCACATTCCCCTGATAGGTGGAGAGTTGGCCCAATAGCCGTAGCGCCACCGTCCTGACGTCAGGACAGTGTTCAAATCTGGATCAGTTTTTATCAGATCCATTGCAGCCCCTTTTTTAGAGATTTGGGTATGGAGGAAAATAGAGAGGGTTGTGTTTTCTGACACTTGGTGAGTTCCCTGGAACACCGGGGACACATATTTATGTATAAAAGACGTACAAAAGTGCATTTTGCATGATAGGTCCCCTTTAAGCTGTCGAAAATCTGTCGTATACATATTCAATACATATATCAGGTTGATGACAGGTCACCAAGTATTGTGAGGAGGGTTTTTTATTGATTTTATTAACTGAACTGTTGATCTGAATCAAAATATTTTCCAACGGCTATCCGTCCTACAACATTTTGCAAAAAGTATGACTAAATCTATACAAATCTTGACTGATGGATAGATGGATTGGATACTATTTATCCCCAGGGAAATTATATAGTGCTATCATTGTTTGTCAGTTGAAGAGTTAGCAATGCTTCTAGTATATCATTACTGTTTGTGATATAACAGTCAAGTGGAATAGTTTTGCTAAATAGCCTCAAAGGAGAGTCTGTCTGACTCATATCAGCCGGTTGCTGTTATTATTACCGTGTGCTGCCTTCAATGTCCGTCGGAAATTGAACCATTTATTAGAAAGCACATTCACAACTGCATTAAATGACAAATGACATCACAATGAAGTGGAATTATTATTCATATCATTGTTTTCATGACATGTGACATCAGTGTCCATTAAATGAATTCAAACTGAGGGCATTATGAACAAAAAACAGAATTCAAAATGAAAAACTATACACAAGTGGTCAACCAGGAATGGAGGTGTGTAGAAATTGGTAAAATGGTTGGGCTTTTTTACTTTTGCAACATTTCTTTGATTTCTTTGTGTGCCACAACATTAAGAAATCCAGTAAATACTGGGGACATTTTGAGGAGGCGAACTTTGTGGATAAAATATTTGGCTAAATAAATCAAATTCCAAATTATGTTTTTGTGTGTGTCAAGCTATGCGAGCAACGATAATTCCTATTCAGAGAGGGAGGCCCCTGAAGGCAGCACCAGTACTGCAGCCGCCGTCGGCGCCGCTGTCTGACGATGGTAAACCTGAGAGACGGATGGTTAGGGCTGACCGTCCTCGACTAACCTGAAAATGCGAGTGTGACTTAATGCATGCCCCGTATTTATATAGTGCTTAATCAGGCTACACGTCTACATAGCCTTAGCTAGTCACAGAAGGATAATTTTGTAGTCATGGAGGACGACTGTGTTTGCGAGTACGACTCGACCTGGGACTCGGAGAGTGATGGAGACGACCCGGCCGGAGAGAGCCAGACCCGACGGTCCTGCCAAGACAAAAACAAATCCGCCTGGAATTTAGTACGTGATTTAAATATTATTCAGCAAAACCAAAGTGTACCTACATCCTATGTTACAGTGTAGTATGTTTACTTACTCATTGCCTGCACCTGGCCAGCCGTTTGCCAGTATTACCACGGCTGGAAAGCTAATGATAGCCTCTGCTGCAGGATGCTAACTAGCCTAGCTAGCCTCTGACGGTAGCTTAATCAGAGGGGTTAAAAGTCGCTGGTGTTAGGTTTATATATGTTGTCCTGCTAATAGTTGTTCCTGTGAATCGTGTGTAATTTGTATGCACAGTTACTATATTTTAGATAAGTGTTAAGCCCTTCTGCGGGAATAGGAAATGGATTAGCTTGGCCTTATATGTCAACTTGTAGTGTACGTAATAACGTTATAAATGTTTATACTGTCATTAGAAACCTTACATGTCGTGTGATGTTATTTGTAATGATGAAGCAACGTAGATTGAATCACATGTGAATTATACAAATGCATATCACAGTGCAACGCTATGCATGTCAATTTCACTTTCGCTTTTATTTTTAGTGGCATCACGCGCCCAGGAACATGAGAGCAGCAAAGGACATGCAGAACTACAGGAGAGGATATCCAGTAAGTGACAGCAAAGATATCTGAACCAAAAACACAGGGGGAAGAAATACTCAGATCTTGTACTTAAGTAAAAGCAGAAGTACCCAAGTGAAGGAACACTGTATACAAGAGTCCTGCAATGTTACTCAAATAAAAGTACAAAAGTATTCGCATCGAAATATACTTAAAGTACTAATTATGCAGATTGGCCAATTTCAGAATAATATAAGTGATATGTTATTGATGTATTAAAGTGTTCATTTTAAAGGTCCCATGTCATGGCCATTTCTACTGATCATAATTCAATTGTTGAGGTATACTAAAATAGATTTATATTGTGCAATTTTCCAAACTCACATTGTTTTCTCATACAGCATCTCTGTATAGTATGTGTATTCACTCTCTGTCCTAAACGGCTTGTTGGAGCTCCTGCCCCCCCCCCCGTCCCTGTGAACCCAGTGGCCGTCTGCAAGACAGCGAAACCCAGCCCGAAACACACACACACCCGCAGCCTGGCTGGGAGTTTGTGTGTGTGCTCAGGCTGAGTTCCGCGGTGTCTCGCTGTCTCGCTGACCCCACACCAGTGAGCTGGCTCACACTGTCCCGCTCCTCGCAGCAGCGAGCCTCGCAACGTCCCGCCGAGTGTGTGTGTGTGTGAGTGTGAGGTAGTCCGCGGATTGGTCCAAACGTAACGGCTCCGCGGACGTAACGTAACGGTTCCGCGGACGTAACGTAACGGTTCCGCAGATTGGACCAATCTGCGGAGCCGTTACGTTACGTCACTATACCCAAATACGTCACTATACCCAAGAAGTAAACAATGGAAAAAGACAAATCTCCAACGAGGCGTTCTGGGGCAGCATAGACAGGTCTTTTCTGTGTTAGAGTTTTACTCGCTACAGGGTGTACTTTGAGGGTTTGTGACTCTGCAGACCGTTTACATGCATAAAAAGTTACATAACACAAGGGGACGGGTAATAACCGGAAAAGCATGACATGGGACCTTTAATTACTTTGTATTATGCAGGATAGTTTTTGAATTTACTCCAGATGTAACTAAAGTCTTATTTAAGTGATGATTATATTTCACATTATTAAACAAAATCTGTAAAGTAACTAAAGGTACTAAGGAAATGTAGTGGAGTAAAAGTTCATGATTTACTTCCGGACTAGTGGGGTAAGAGTAAAAAGTAACAAACAATTAAAATACTCAAAGTCCCTTGAACTTAAGTACAGTATTTGATTAAATCTACTTAGTTACTTTACACCACTGCAAAAAGAACATCTTGTGAACCACAGTTAAGGAGATCTCAAAATGTGTGTTTTTTCTGTTTTGACAGAATCTTACAGATGACGAGTGCTCAGAAGACAAAATGAACAATTTGCAGTTTTATCTCAATAAATTTCCCTCCTCACCTGATGGTAATATATATTTGAATTCTCTTACGATATATGTTCAGTATTTTGAAAAGTCTGTGTGCAGTGACATGGTGCTTTTATTTGTTTGTACAGATGTCTACATTGAATCATTTCATAAAGAATGGAAAAATGACTACAAAAGACTGGAGAGAGTTCACTCGTACATTCAGTGGTATGTATTGTCCACGCCTTTTGATGGGGGCTACGTTCAGTCTGATGATACAGAGACAATGTCATCTGATTCGGATGACCTTTGGAAACCTGTCACTATTTTAAGCAAGACCATAATGATGAAACAGAAAGTAAAACAAAGGGTCCTCCTGAATAGCAAAATGTTAAAAGTCAGTAGCTTAGTACCCGTTTAAAGCTATTTTAGTAGTAAATTAGCATACATTCATGCATTGTTGAGTATCTTAATCAAGCTATTTATTGTTAATGAAATAATCAAGGTTCAGGCCATTACTTTTGTCAAAGATTTGACAAGAAAGACTATCATTTAGTAGACATTATGTTCCAGTGGTACCAAGATTAAACTCATGTTGATGATCGCTTTCTGATCCAAGTCTGATCATTTTGATTTATTTTGTCGAATCATAGTGCTTTAGAGCTGTATCTGGTGTTTTCATGGTCTTGCCTGAATAAGAGTAGAGTTTATTAATTGGTTTGTGTCGTTTCTCTCAGGCTGTTTCCACTGCGAGAGCCGGGGGTTAATTACATGGCTTCAGAACTTACCAAGAAGGAAATTGAGGTAAGTGTATCCTCGGAAACAACAAGTCTTTAAATGAACACTCTACCAAACAATTAATTGTGCATTATTTATTTATCAACAGTGATGCATTTTGTTGGAATAGTTTCAAGCTGCATTTTAAATCACCAAAAAAGCGGCTGCAAAAGTTTGTTTTATATCACGTCAGTTATAATTTAAATGCCTATTTCCATGTTAAACAAACAGGAAAAGCATTGTGTCGCGCCGTGTCGACCTTCCTCCCAATCCTCTCATTTCCCGTCACTTCCCTACTCTACATTATTAAAATTAAAGCATAATGCCTCAAATTGTACTTTAACATTAAGCTCTTCATGTGAACAAACGGATAGACATAAAGATAACTTTATAGTTTTTTTCCCCCCAAAACAGTACTATAAGCTATCCAAGTTGAAATGCAAACCGTTTGGATATCCTTTTAAATGTATACCATGTTGAATATCACGAGTTTGTTTAAACTTTTGGATCAATATTGCAATGTTGCATGCAATCAAAAAATGTGTCCTACAAGTTGTTTGTTATATTTGGCATTTATTGTATATGCTCACCTAGGCCTTCAAGAAGAATGACGAGGCCAAAAAGAAACTAGTCGAGTCCTATGAACTCATGTTGGGCTTCTACGGGATGCGTTTGGTCAACAAAGAGACGGGTGAAGTGAAACGAGCAGATAATTGGAAGGAGCGATACGGAAACCTGGAAAGGTAAATACAAAAAATAATAATCTTGTATAAATAAAATTGCCAATGTGTACTTTTCTTTTATACATTTCTTCTCTCTTGCAGGAATATGCACAACAACCTGCGCATCACTCGCATCCTGAAGAGCCTCGGAGAGCTGGGCTTCGAGCACTTCCAGGCCCCACTGGTGCGCTTCTTTCTAGAAGAGACATTAGTCAAGAAGACCCTCAGCAGTGTGAAGCGCAGCGTGCTTGACTACTTCCTGTTTGCTGTCCTGGACAAGCAGAAACGTCAGGAGCTTCTGCGCTTTGCCTACCTTCACTTTGAGCCAAAGGATAAGTTTGTGTGGTGTCCCAGAAAGTTCCAGAAACAATTCAGGAAGGCAGAGAAACGATCTGATGGTGTAGGGAATGGAGATGGAAAAGATGAGTCCATTTCACGGAGTAAAAGCAAAGATGGAGAAGCAGTTGTGCAACAAAAAGAGGATGGACTGGATAATAATACAAAGGCTCAGAAAGAAACTGATAAAACGCCAAGTAAAGAGAAAAACAAACTGTCAGAGGCGTCCCCTGAGAAAACAAAACCAGAAGCAGAGAACGTCGGAAATGGAAACACAGAGGCCGAGTCTAATGATGAGATTGTGGAGAATGGAAATGACTCCACGGATGATGTTGATGAAATGGATCAGTCGTCCAGTCCTGACTCTGCGACGGCAAAGGCAGAGCCCTGTGCAGACAGCGAGGAAACATTAACCAACGACTCAAAGGACCCCATCCAGGAACCAGATGTCATTATGCAAACGGATGAGGATACAGACACAAAAAAAACACCGAAGAAGAAGAGAGAAGATGACAAGGTGCTGCCAAGCAACGGCTCTGCTGGGGACTCTGCCAGCGAGCAGATGGAGGAGAAAGCTGGTGCTAATAAAGCCACCGGTCAAACCTCAGCCCAAGCCCCCCCTAAGACTGCTAAACATTCCCCCTCTCTCTCCTCTGGGATAGAGGAAAAAATCCCAAGGACTGATTTTAATCAAGTGCCAGATAAGAAGGAAGAGGAAGAAACGTCAAATGTGTCGGCAACAAATGGGTCAGGGACGAGCGCCGACAAAGGTGTGTCTGAGCAGACAAACGGGAAGGAGACGGAGGATGTAGAAATGGAATCAAACCCGGTGTGTTCAGATCAAAATATGGGGAGTACATGAATAAACTGGGGAAAGGAGGAGTTCTTTCATTTGATCTTGAAATGAAATGTAATATAGGGACAGAGTATTACGTTAAAGAACTTCCTAGGCCTTATTTCTACTATATGTGATGTTTAGATATTGATTATTTTCACTTTGAAGGAGTATATGAACCCACTAGTTGCTGAATGTGGGCTGGATGTTACTCGGTTTCCAGGTGGCCATCAGACAATATTAAAGGGGAAGGCTGGTGGTATTCTATTCTTTTGTTATTGCCAACAAATCCCATGGAAAGGTCAAAACCAACTGGAAGCAGCGGAGGCAGTAAACGTGTTAGCATTGTTAGCTTGCTGGTGCTAGCCCAGCTGCTCTGTGGCCTTACAGGTCGTAACTGCTGTTGAATCTCCACCAAACCAACAGTCTCTACATACTTTGACTTCTCCACCTCCTGTCAGCTCCAAGCATATTGGGTCTTAGAAACATGAGTCCTTAAAAATCCTTTAAAACATAGAGCATTTTTTTTTTTTAAGAGCTAAGTAATTGGACTAACAAGTGACGCGTTTTAGTAAAAAATAACTCAAACAGGACTAAATTGTGTTTTGTTGAGGACTATTTCAGTTTTGTGAGTTGACAGTAGCAGGACGGTGCATGTGAGGTTGACTGAAAATGAAATTCAGTGTCAGTGTTTATTGCAACCGTTTTTGGACAATAGAATAATGTGTAACAGGAGTAAGCTACTGTATATGACGCTCTAGATGCACATTCAAAACCTTCCTTTGTTTTTTTCACAGGATTTGTCGGCAATAACAAAAACATTGAATATTACCAGGATTATAATTTAAGGTGGTAATGTACAAGGCTGATATTTGATATCTCTACAGAAAGCACTATTATTAATGTATATCAATTAAATGATGGTGTCAGCCTTTTTTACACCTTAATACTTTCACAATTTAATTTTCTTTTGCACTAAAAAATGATTAATTGGAAAAGCTTTTTTGTTCTCTTTGGGCTGTTTTTATGTGAGTAAAAATAATCTGTTCTGGTTTGTGTTTCTGCTGGATCCCGTTGAGCAAATAGATTTAAGAATGAATTTGCTAAGGTTATATTTCATTAATGTTGCACCATCTGTATGTGTTCATGCAGATTTGGGAAGTTAACTTTTTATTTGAACAATTGAGAGCATTGCCAAAAATGTGATAAGACTGGTTGATTGTATAATGTTTTTTTTGGCAGAACTGATAAAGCTATAATTTAAAGTCCACTGTGTGTTCATCTGACATGAGTGAAGTCCATGAAAATGAACAAGCCAGGATGAGCATATGGAGGCATCTTTTATATCCACTTAATTTTCACTATTAGTTATTGAACTTATGATATTTCCATAAAGATATGGTAATAACTTTACAAACAAATTGTTTATATAATGACTTTTTTTTGCCCAATTAAATTCCTGGCAGTTACAAAGCAGAATAAAGTTATACTATTTTTTGAAGCTTTTATGAATTGTGTCGGTTTACCCAAAGTCTGATTCTCATTATAATGTATTAAATAGCCATTTTCAGGATAACACTGTATAATCTTATGCTCCTATTCATGAGTCTCTTCCTTGATCTCCCATGCAGCAGCAGCATTTAGTAAATCCATAAATATCACTTTCTTACCAGCAAACAGACCAAGCATCATGTATATGACTCAGAAGAGGGAAGCAGTTTAGACGCAGCACAGTTTGTTCAGTTCTCTGGGTCAGTCGAGTCAGGGAGTGAGTAAGGACAGTAAAATATAAATACTGTTGCTGTTTGATGCACTGTTCCTTCCCATCTATCTATAGCTCTACCCACTTCCTGTACGGAGGACCATAAATCAATGTTTAACACTTTATATTGATTTATTTTCAAATTAGATTAAGAATACTGAGATAAAGCTTCTTGCATTTTGAGTCTTATGGTTAGATAATGTAAGCTATTCCTCTTTTATGTAGTTTTTTTTGGACAAAACATTTGCACATGTGCCTCAAAAGTAGGATGATGTGCCTCATCTGTGGTAATCAGTTTGTCGATTGACAGAAAATATATATTTTTTTAGCACAATACGATATTCCATTGTCAAAGGAGCTAATTTATTGTGATCACTTGTTTTATGTGATGGTAAACTATAGGTATTGACAGTTTATCTGACTTCCCCTTGGACAACTTGTGAGACATTGCACTTTTTCAGTGTTTCCTGAGATGTCATAAACTAGACTCCAGATAATCTACAGTGGTCACCTGGTAGGGGGATCTGATGAAGACATGATGTTGAATTGCATTATGGGAAATGTAGGATCGGGGGGGGGGGGTAGGGGGGGCCAGTGCCCCCCTAACACTGACTTTGGACCCCCCTGAAAATGAAAAAAGTTTATGATTAAACGATTTCTTGGCTGAGGGAATAGGCGTAACTAACGCTATTTGTCATTCTAGTCGGACCCATTAGAACAGGGGTCTCCAACACGTCGATCGCGAGCTACCGGTAGCTCGCAAGCCCTCAATAAGTAGCTCGCCAAGCAAATCCAAAATGTAAAAAATACACATAAAAAAAAGGGAATGTAATTAAAAGAATCTACCCTATGCATAAACGAAACCTCAATCATAGCGAACTCTATCTACTTACTACAACTCTATATCTATCAAACACCCCTCTTCCCCCCTCCTCCCACAATGAATATCGACCAATCACGTTCTTGCAACAGTTTAAAAGGGGAGTGATTAAAATATGCATAAATAAAAAGAAAGAATGCTAACTATAGGTATAATAAGATAAGAATAAACAAGTTTAAATGATTTGTTATTGATGATCATATTCTAAAGATGTTTGGATTATTGAAAAGTATACAGCTCCCTTTCATCTGAGTGCTGAGAGCTGTATCCATAAATTCATGTTGTGCTCAAATGCCCCTTTCACACCGGCGCTTTTCCAGCTCCTGCTGGGAGCTAGAGCCTGAAAAGCGCCGGTTTTTCCTGTTCACACCGCAGCGGCGGCGCGTCATAGCTCCGGAATGCGGTTCACTTCCAGCTCCAAAAAGTTGTCGGTCCAGAGGCAAGAGCTTTGGAGCTATGACGCGGCGTCGCTTACGTCGAGGCGTGCAGGAAACCTTACTTTGACCATCCGTTCGCTGTTATTGATCATTGTGGAGAACAGGCAGACGTTTTGTTTGTTATTATAGCAGCTATCGGATGGAATTAATACATGGGCTGTACAGGTTGTCATGTCCGACTATCACAAGTAGAATCATAATGAAAAATACGCCGGTAAAATGTGCCTGTAGAAAACGGCTTAGCAAGTAGTCAGTTTAGCTTCGGTTGCTATGCTAACATCACCCATGTTATACCAGAGAAACTTTCATAACAGCGTTGTGATGCCAAACAGCATCAATTCAGACTGACACACATTCACTTAAGGGGAACTGGGGATATGTATCAGCTGCTTGTGTGACAGTCAGACAGTGAATACTTTAGAGCCGTGTGAGCTAACCCGGAGCTAACGGGAGAATACACTCCCGTGGAAGAGCAGCCAGCACTGCAGCGGTCGGTAAATGCCGCTGAAACACATTAATAAACAATGAACCACAGCACTCTGGAGAAAAGTATAAGGTTGGAGAAGTCGTTATTTAATTTAATCTGGCTTCGTATGATTAAAAGCAACACGATCGTCGACCCGACGCAGTCCCCGGCCCGTTGTTGTTGTGGGAGAAAATCTCTCGGCAGCTCTGGGCGGTGTGAACAGAGCGGGAGCTGAAAAGGGAAACCGGAGCTGAACCAGAAAAGCTCTCGCTAGGAGCTAGAAAGGGAAAAGCGCTGGTGTGAAAGCCGCAAAAGTGCACCAGATTGATGCATTTCACTTCAACATTTAAAAACATTTTTTCCCGGGGGTGCATGCCCCCGGACCCCCCTAGAGGATGTGAGGTCTACCCCCCAAATAAAGCAGGTTAAAATAATTAAATTGCATACATTTTCTTTTAGTAAACACTGAAAACGGGTCCCACAGACCCAAACAGCACACAAAGGTTAAAGGTAAGCATATAATAATGTTAAAATGTGCTAAATATATACACTACAAAAAACAAAAAAAATAGGATTAAAAGTAGCCCACGACTTGTTTCATTTTTTGAAAGTAGCTCTCATCCTAAAAAAGGTTGGAGACCCCTGCATTAGAGAGTAAAAACTGTAACTATAAGTATCTGAAATAAATATGTGTAATGAAACAAATACCAATAACTGTATTGCATTGTTTTCTTATGCGCAATTACTTCATACTGTCTTTATCTTTTTCGTCCTGCATTTATTGTGCCCCCCTCAGAAAATAACTGGCCCCAGCCTGGCCCCCCCACTCAAATTGGTCTAGAACCGCCACTGTGTAGGATCCTGCTTTCTTGAGAGTTTGAGCTATTAAGGATGTTTGGCCTTGTCTGTATAATAGTCTTTTTCATTATGGGAGTAGCCCTTTAACTCCTTGAATCCACACAGTACCCCTAACGAATTCTAATTCTGAGGTATTGGCCCTTTCTAATTCGTCAAAGCATGGACCCCTGCATATTTCTAACGTTTTTAGCTCAGCCCACTTTCTAGGTGCCCGAAATTTGTTTTTCCTGAGCTGTGTGTCTCCCTCACTCTCCTCCTCACCTCCTCACCCCCTCACCCCTGTGTGCAGTCAGTGCTCCACATTGAGTTCAGCCCCTTCGGCTGGAGGCTCGGGTTTATCTGGACGCAAGGAGGAAGCCATTCAGGAGCTTTGCACCGCGACGTAAAGAGAGGATCCGTGCCGTCACAGGGGGGGAGAGAGAGGAACGGTTACCGGGGATTTGACATTTTCCGCATAATCTCGGGTTTATTGAGGAGCCATGGCGGTGTTTTCTGCGCTTTGGGTGCTCTTACTGTGCCAGCTTTTATCATCATCCTCAGCCCAGGTAAGGATTGCATCCCTTCATTTAGCTGGCTGCATCTTATCTTAATGGTGATGTTTGCTTATTATGCTGGTAGCGTTTAATGTTTATTAACTTGCAGAACTGTCACCTGTGGGCCCATATATTGATAATTCATGTGTTGATGGTGATGACAGTCGCTCTCTTTTACAGCTGTTCAAGCCTTGACCTGCATGCTTGATACTTTCCAACATAAAACCTGATGCTTGCTCTGATATTTAGTAGCTACTCTTGTGCAATTATCTTTGAGTGGATGTTAGTGGTATTTTGTCTCTCAGGTTTTGCAGGCCTATTTTTTCTCTCCCATATCAGCCTAATTGTGTGCAGGTGGCTGTAACTTTCGCACTGTTTGGTGAAGTTGGGGTTATGTTTTCCCCTGAACCTGTGGAATGCACGAATTGGAGATCAGTGCCCCTGCGCACAATGCCACCTCTGTTCACTCAGGCTCCCTGGAGCAGGGGCTCAATTGGAAGGACCTCAGCAAAAAATAACAAGTTTATTTTGTTTAGATGACAATTATTACTGATTTATTTGAATCATCATCAAAAAGTAGTATTAGAAATTTACTTTAGCTTTCTTTTAGTGGATAAGTAGAGATGTAAAGCTTATGTACACTTGGCTATGTGCATCATGGTTTGCATTGAATTGAACATCTCTTGTTACTTTTTTAGAAATATTAACACATTTTATTATCATGGTTGATGCGAAAGTACACCAAAAATTCCTCATCTTCTCTATGTTATGTCACACCACCATGTCCCATATAAATGACATGGGACATAAATGACCCATGTCATTTATACAGTATTATTGACATTTTGAGGATGCATGATTTTGATCAATTGTTTTCTTGCAGAGACCGGGCCCCAGAGGAGCCACCGGGCCACAAGGATCCCCAGGGCCGGACGGAAAGGATGGCACCGATGTGAGTTGACTAGATTGCAAAAGCTTATGTTTACTTTAAATGAATGTGCCTTCTTATAATGTCTGCTTCATTGAGATTAAACCAACTCCTGTGAGTAGATAAAACACATGTGTATCACCTCTTTTAAGTGGGGGTTTTCTTTTGTGATTAATTAACTTGGTCTTATTTTATGAAAAAATTGGATGTCGAGTTACATATCAAAACGTTTTAAAAGTATTTGTCAATCTGTGCCACAGTCTCTAAAGTTACAGTTTGCACTGAGTTGTGCTCAGTGGCTTCACATCTTTGTCTTGTAGTATTAAGAACAATCCCCCCAGTTACTACTGGCAGAAAGTGTTTTCATTGTGCATAAATGTGGCTGAAATGTCTCAAGATGTTACTTTTTATCTCATTGACTCCTCCCCCAAAGCCCCTCCTACACGCATTAAATCATAACCATGCATAACAGGTAGGCAGGGTTTAAGTGTGTCAACTATATCAACATGTATGGTTGAAAGGAATTGAAAAAAAGTCTGGTTATCCCTTCATTTTGAACCTCTCAAAGCTTAGATTGTAATCATAAAGGGGATGGCTTTGCTTCTTCCTTATTTGGCCATATTAACTCAGACAGTATCATATCAGTGAGCCTGATTTCTGTAGTCAAACGTGTCTTGTCAATTAATGCCGACAATACAGTAACAATCAAATGAAATGCAAGGGATATTACTGTTAAACAAAGTTAGCTGTTATAAAGGGTGTTGTTATATGGTTAACAATTTAGGTGATGAAAGGAAATGTAATTATGGGTTAGCCAAGGGAAAAGAAAACTTTGTTAACAAGGTAAACCCTTTATATCCTTGACATTTATATCTTTGATTTTTGTCAAACTTTTTCTGTTAAATGAAGAGCGACATTGTAAATATTGTATAGCCTTTTCAGGAAGTCTTTAGTTGTGATTATTTTTTTGACTGCTCTAAAGTTTGGGCACACAGAGGGCCCATTCATACATTCCCCAACCCGGTGAGACCCTATAGAGTTTCTCCTCACACCTCCTCCCCGCTCCTCAGCCCCCTGCACAAACCAAACTGAAGCCTTCATCATGTGAGCGGTTTAGTAGTGTTTGTTCTTCCCCCAGTCGCTGCAGAAGCTAAACAGCATATCCTTTTTACTTAGGCTTTAGGTTCTGTTGTTGGTATAACACTGAAGCTATTGAGGGATTTGATCCAAAAACTCTGTCTTTACAGTTGAACATTGTCGTCTCTGGAAGTATTTGGGTGAATGAATGAATGAATATAATGCACGTTTTGTCAGGCTATACTAAATATTCTTTCCTTTTTCATTAACAGGGCAAAGATGGACCTGCTGGACTGCCGGGGAAAGCCGTAAGTTTAACCAACTAGTCAAGTCAGTTTTATTTAGTGACTGTATTTAAATAATTAAAGTAATGTCAACCGCATAACGCTATTTCTATTTTATTTACTTGACTTAGAAATATAACAGTGTTTAATAAGTGCAACCTGTGTCAGTGTGCCAAGTTTAAAAAATTAAAAAAAACCTTCACCAGCAGTGTAAACATTAATAAAACCCTGATACAGATTGTTGTCTTCCACACATAGCAAAGTGCATTGCAATGAACCAGGGCACAAGGGAAACGTGTGTATTCTATGAAAATAATATACAATATAAATAATGAAATCCAGAAAAATAAGAAAAACACAATATTCCCCACTGCTCTCCCACTACTACCCTGCCCTCTGACAGGTATAATTACAAAACCCTCCCCCTTTTCTGACTCCTTCTCCCCCCTGACAATTTCCTGTACAGTCCCTTTATGTAGCCAAAAAACCCACACATTTCTCCAAACCTTCAATCCTTTAATATTTATTCTGATAAGGAAACACTCCCATAAAGTGCTTTTTCTTTTAAGGGAGCATTTCATGTTATTCATATTAAAAAATGCCCAATTGTTCAGTTGGCTGGATAACTGATTTCTTGTGCACTAATCTTTAAATCTATATCTGTGTAGGGTCCCAAAGGGAAAGCAGGAATATCAGGGGAAGCAGGAAAACCAGGCCTGCCAGGACTACCAGGAGTGGACGTAAGTGTTTAATTCACACACACACACAGACAGCCCTTATACTACCAACACACCACCTTTTGTCCATGTCAGTCCATTTAAGGATGAAATGCCTACTAGTCTCTGTTATTAAAGTGAAATGACTATCGATTGATGTTTAAAATAACACGAGCAGAGCACGAGGCAGTGATGTTTACAGAGATATTTGCTTGCTCTTCAGGGTTTGACAGGTCCTGATGGCCCTGCTGGGAAGGATGGACCCCATGGGGAAGCAGTAAGTGTGTTCAGTCTTTTGATCTTGCCGAGGATACACCTAAAGTTGCACCCAATTTAGTTTTTAAGAGCTTATCCACTTTAGCCTGCCCCCCCCATTAATCAACCAGTTGAAGTCAGCCACGACGAGTAAGATACATGTGTGCAGAAACATGTGTATTTGATGCTGCTGTATGAAACTGTTTATAGGGGGGGTCTAACGGGGACAAGACCAGTGTTTCAGCACTGATTTGTCGAGACGGTTCTCCCTCCTGGTGGGAATATTTTTAATGAGGGATCAGAATCTGATTTATTCCTTGCTGCTTCCCTAATCCGGCCTGGAATGCCAAATGTTTCCCACCAACCTGTGAGACTGTAGGGGAAGATCTGCCGCTCCGACGCTGAGTGAGGGTGGTTGTTTCACCTGAGAGACACAAACGAAGACAGAATTACAACCTATACAAGTGCACCAACAGGACTTTTATTTCTCACATAAAATATTAAGTTATACAAGTATAAATATTGAGGGACTTCTGCTGTAAAGCTGAAAACTCACTGTCAAGACAGATAATGCCCCTGGCTTCTCAACTAATTATCCAACCTAATGAGGAAACTGGCGTCAACCAGTGTCCGTAATTACTCAGATTACTGCAGTGTCACGGCTGGTTCATGGTGCAGGATCACAGTGGAAGAGTTGTTTGAGACGGAGCATAAGCTGGTGCTAAGCAGTAATCAGCCAACAACAATGACTGTTCATTTTCTCATCACAATTCAGATTAGGTTATGTATTCCAGGTCATTTCAGGCTACCTCACATCCATTTGTTTGTCATTTGTGTGCCTGAGTGTACTTTGTTGTCTAGTTTGCACACTGAGGAATGCAGAGAAAGAATAACACCACTGCGTTAGGACTGTTTTCTTTTGCCCTCTCACCTCTGAGACAGCACAAATACAGCTGTGAAGGAGGTAAACAACGAGATACAGAAGGAAGATAAATGGTCATGGGGGGTTAGTCTGGAGAATAAGGGGCTCACACGAAACCACAATGTAATAGTTTTTTCTAGGAACGATTTTGTAGGAGTCGTTTGTTTTTACTGACAGAAATTAGTAAAGGAAAGAAGAAGATGTACACCGAACAAGTATCCGACCAAAAATCCTTGGAGATTGCCTGATAACTTAATGTGTAACGAGAAGTTTCTTTAAGAGAAAGACAAATTATGTTTTAATTGATTGCAATATTTGCCAAATATTTGTGATCTTCCACTTATTTATGAGCTACAGCAGAAGTCCAAGCTTCCAATTTTTCATTAATTGATTATTACCTTTATTAATTTATTGGCCAAACGCCATTTGATATTACACGTTTTCCAGCACTGACTGACTTTAAACCTATGTTAAGGTTTTTATAGAACACAAGATAGCGTCATATAATGCAACAACTCCTTTTCTCTTATTGTGTCTTTAGGTGGAACTAGTCAGGCACAACACACGCCTATCATACGCAAAGCCTTATAGAAAAAACCCTGACAAAAACCAAACAATGCCGTTAAATGAAAGCCCCCATTGGTAGGCTGAAATCGTGCAGAACAAATCTCAAACTCATTTTTAATCTGTCAACTATAGTTGTAATTGTACAAAGCAAACAATGTCTCCACATAGGCTACTCTTTGCCTAAAATATATATATTTAATTTAATATTACGTCCACACATGGATCAGCATCATGTTCAAAGAGTTATACATTTCAAGGTTCCCTTTTGGTTTGATTGTGTCCGAGAGGTTAATTGTGAGATGTTGCCTTGTTCTCTCCAGGGTGACGCTGGACCTGCCGGGCCAACTGGAGCTCCTGTAAGTACCCCACATATTATGCATCACCTCATAAACATCACAGAGATTCTCAGCAGTTGCTCCTTAATTCCTCTGATGTGTAACTCATAGTTACAGTGACCATATTATATTTATTTCAAATAAGAGTGCCTGCTAATGTTTCAGGATGTTTAACAAAGCTCACCCTCTATGTCATCCAAACTCCGGCATACAACAGATTAAATTCCATTAAACCACGCACACCATTGTGGGATGTGAACCAAGAACAACATTTAATGTGTGTGGTGTTAACAATGATGATAGTAGTAATAAACAACGCCAAATAAACATTTTGGCTACACACACACACACACACACACACACACACACACACACACACACACACACACACACACACACACCCCTTTACCAAATACTTTCAGACTGCATTGGATCATTTCTTTCTAAGACAAATTCAAAAATCAGGCCTGATATAAACCAGGTTCATGTAGCCCCCGAATTATATACAATTGACACTTACCATCTGAATAGCACACAACAATCTGAGCCCAGGTCAGAAACCACTTCCTGCAAAAAACTCATGGTGAATCTTCCAAAAAAAAGTAAACCAGACCCAAGAATAGCAGCTCTGGAAACAAAGCGTGTAGCTGAACCAGCACACAGCTGCAACACTTCAACTTATCAGCCAAACAACCAACACCTGCACCGACCTGCAGCACATGGCGAGGCTTTGTTACAACCACTTGGCCGTAACAAAAGGGAGACACTTCATAATATGAATATTAGAAAAAAACAGCTTTTCATTTCATAGAATGAAACCAATTTAGAACAGATTGTAAGCTGACAATAATATTTGTACTGTGGTGTTGGAATCAGTAGCATGTTTGGTGCATAGTGGAAAATGTGTGTGTGCCAGTGTTGCAAATAGGTTTCGATAATCAGTGAGCTGCAGGCGAGGGCCTAACATCGGTAGTGACATAACAACAACAACATTGTATTTTAACACCTGTATCTACAGGGAAATAAATTATTTACATATTAATAGATCAACCACCACAATGGCCTACCATTTTTTCTATATTACCAATTTCCAAATAAATGTTTGCTGCAGTGCAGGCTATCAGGGAAATGGACTGGGTTCAGACAGGATTGGAGGGGCTACAACGCACATCTCGCAGATCTCTTTAAATACATTTTGCTCAGATATTGGTGGGGAAAATTCAGATTTAACTAAATATTATAAACAAACCTTTGTCTACAGGGTGAGTAGAGACACAGGTTATCAACAAGTTAAACTCCAGATGACACCACGGTCATCACAAGGACACATTATATATAATCTGCAGTTTGCTCTGATCTAACTGGACTGTAAAAGCGCATATCTAGCTCACAGCAATAACCTGAGGTAACCTTCAAAGCGGATTCAATGCAGCAACTCATCACGTGGTGGATATTGAAGCTGTGAGTAAATCTAATCATCCCCTTGGTGTTTGTGACTTAATTTGCCTTCCTGTGTCTTCCGTAGGGCAGAGGGAGACCAGGCGCTGCAGTGAGTACACATTACTCTCTTTTTATATCACTCCTATGTGCAGAAAGATGGAGATTGTGATGTATTTGTATCATCTTTACATAATACAATAGCTTCTTTGCATCCTGGAAAAGTATTCTTATACATAATATTACAAAATCCTGTCACTCTGATTGTGTGATACATCTACTCGTATACTTTGATGTCATGCCAACACTCTGTGTCTTTTGTTTTCAGGGACTTCCTGGAACCAACGGGTTGTCAGGCGGAGTCGGACCCTACGGTCCAGCGGTGAGTATCTGTCTAATCTCTACAATTACACTTCCTGGAGGAGTCACATCCTTTTCAATGAGATGGAAAAATAATTTGTGTTATATATTATTAATGCACATATAATTCGATACCTGATTTGCTACAGAAAACTTAATTTAGGTGAAAATTTGCAGCAATAAACATACACAATCCTCTGCGGTAAAAACAGTAGATGTGATAGTGATTGAGATCCAGGTGTTTTTTGTTTTTTTTATCTCAGCTAAACATTACCCTAAATTACTAAATAACATAACAAGAAAATAAGATAAACCACTGAAGAGGAAGGACAATTTAGTATAAATTAGGCTCGGCTCGACTCGTGTTTCTACTGGATCACACTTTATTTTGATCAATAAATGCTTATACTTGCTCAATATCCGTAGATGCGAAAGTATTATTTGCAGTAGTGTGAAATTATTTTATTGTCTGGGTCAGAATTCATCTTTAAGTCAGGGTTAGCATTAGAAATACAGTCACCAAAACAGGTATAATACTATACTATACAGAGACACAACAAATACCACCTTTTGTAATGTGATTTGTAAATGAAGAAGTTAGAGTTCCCCTCCAAAGATTTAAAGACATGCTTGGAATAATCATTTGTGTCTGATGTGTGTTTTTCCACTCAACAGCCTTGTTAAACATTATACTGTAACTTTGTCTCCCCTGTTGAGGAATTCAGAATCAATATGCACATATTTTTGATTTAAAAGCTTTACTAACAACATATATCCTACTTCCCTGAAAAGTCTGCTGTCAGTGTGCTTGAGGTTTTTAATTTGCATACCATTACAAGTTGCAGTGTCACTAAACTGCTCAGAGGTACAAGTTATAAACTCAGATGTAAGGGGAGCACAGAGAAACTTTACCACTTTTAATTTTAGAAAAGGCGTTCAATTGTCACCTTTTTAGGTGGATGGCGAAGTGTCACTCTCAAACTACAACTGATTGTTATAACTGCGACCAGATGACCTTGCTCAGCTGAGATTTTGATAAATGAAAAGATGAAAGTTCTCTATCAACTCATCTTGGTGCTATCTATCTGATTCTCAGGGTCCCGAGGGTCTTCCAGGTCTTCCCGGACCATCTGGTCCTGATGGACCACCAGTAAGTGCAGCTATCATGAATCACTGGTGCTGCTGGTACTATGTGATCATTGAGTCTGATAATCTGCTGTTTGCTGTTACACAAGATTTTCCCAATTTGGAGTGAATGTCTGTTCTTCACCGAGGCAGGGATGTGTCAACATGTTTCAAATGTTAATGTGTGTTGTTAATCCTTCCTCTCTTTAGGGTCTTCCTGGTACTCTTCAGGATCTTAGCGGGGACCTTCTGGTAAGTTTTCAATCATGCACCTGTGAGAGCATCATAATGAGAGCAAGCTGAAGAAGCATACGATGAGTTAAGTTGCTCAATGTGTCTTCTCTGTCCTCTGCAGTGTCCTGCTATCTGCCCCTCTGGTCCCTCTGGTCCGTCTGGTATGCCAGGGTTCAAGGTAAATACACTTTCTGTCATGGTTGTTGTATGATCGTTGTCACCTTGCAGTCTCACAACACATGTCTTCTTTTACACTCATCATGTGTGTATTCTATTCTGCTCTTATAGGGTCACACAGGGCACAAAGGTGACAAGGGAGAGTTTGGGAAAAATGGAGAGAAGGTGAGTTCATTGTGCAACAAATATATATATTTTGTCTGCTATCAGTAATATAGGTTATAAAAGAATAGAACCAGCCGTGTGCACAGTATTGTTTTTTATTGTTTTTTCTACATCAGCTGAGGAGGTCAGTTTTTCGGTCCGATTTGGTTTGTTTGTACGTTTCTCGAGAAGGAAAAAAACTGTTAGCTTGAATTAAACATGGTGGAAGGTGTCTGCATCGATCCTAATCATGGCGTAGTTACAGAAATTATGTTTAACTTTAGTTAACATTAACATATAGGGCATGGGCTTGGCAAAGGTCTTCGCTCATCGAGTGCCCTTCTAGTTACTGAACAACTTATCCTAACTTTCTTCCTCTGTCTCTAGGGTGACGCTGGACCATCCGGCCCACCAGGTATTCCTGGCACCGTGGGTCTGCAGGTGAGTTACATAAAGATTATTCACAACATTTTTCATGCATTGCCTACACAGAAGTTTGGTCCATCAGTATATTTAGTACAGCTTACCCAGGAACTTTTGAGAAACAATCCGAGTTGTTTATGATGTTTTAAAATGCCTCTGATGCTGTGTTTCAGGGTCCACGTGGTCTCAGAGGTTTACAAGGCATAATCGGATCTGTAGGAGGCAGAGTAAGTTCTTTTTTAGAATGACCACTGCGTCCTTATTCAGCTTCTTATCAGTCACAATGCAGCCAGCTAAAATATGTGTACTTACAGTTGGATTCCTTTGACCTCTCTTTGTCTCTAGGGCCTGCCTGGTTTCAGAGGAAAACACGGCATTGTCGGCGTCATTGGAAAGACAGTGAGTCTCTCCTTGTTTGTACCACATCTGAAAACAAAAAAAAGTCTTTGGTGGTAATTAACAGCCAGGATACACGGCTGGTCCCATCAATGAATAGCTGTTTGTGTTTCATCTGATGTCTCCAGGGTGACGTCGGAGAAAGCGGACCTCAGGGATTCAGAGGACCCAAAGGAGGAATTGTAAGAAGAAGACTTTAATTAAGCTTCACACGGATATACAAAGAATTATAAATGACACGTTAATGTATCTTTCAACAGGGTAAAATTGGTCCCAAAGGAGGCCCTGGAGGATCCGGACCCAAAGGAGAGCCTGTGAGTGTATATCTGTCTATAAATTATAAATGTCTAATACACACCACCTCTCAGTAACACGAGGATCATATTTGATGTTTTCTACAGGGTATTCCTGGCAGAGATGGCAAAGATGGTTCTCAAGGATTAGATGGCGAGAAGGTAAGTTGCACCAATTTCTTTCTGTTTTCTTTAGGCTTTGTAGAACATCCAAATAAAGTGATTGTGTGATTGAAACTGATGTCAATGTTTTTGTGCTGATAGGGTGATGCTGGTCGCCATGGGGTTGTTGGAGAAAAAGGACCAAATGGTGTTCCTGTGAGTATTTTGAAATAGACTTGGATGTTCCCTGATGAATTACAATAAAGAGAATAGTTGAAAAACATAGTCAGATGTCTGACTCTCCAGTCTAAGTAGCGGTTTGATTCTTCTGTTACAGGGTCTTCAAGGAAGGGCTGGAACAAAGGGGTCTAAAGGAGGAGTTGTGAGTATTACAACAAAGTAGAAACAAGAGTGTAAACTGACTAGAGGACCATGCAGGACAACTTTAATTTTCTCCCTTCTTTTTAAATCAGGGTGACCCAGGGAAAGGCGGTGAGACGGGACCCTCTGGAGAGCCAGGTATTCCTGTATGTATCTGATGGGCTTCTTTGGGGGGGGTATTATCAGGTCACAGTTTCTTTGACATGTCACTTAACCCCACAATGTTGCGTCTGGACTCTAAACCTTCCTCACCATCTGTCCTCTCCTTTAGGGTGACATCGGCATCCCAGGAGAGAGGGGGTTATCAGGAGCCAGAGGAGTGGCTGTAAGTTCATGTCCACACTACAGACTAAGGTGTATGTGTTGTCAAATTGCTACACTGCTTATTTAGCTCGAAATAATTCATAAGCATCTACTCCATGGAATTTATAAATAATATTTTGCCTCATTCGGGAGCCAATTCATTAGACTTGCTGCTGCACAGATGGTCTGCTGAATTCAACCAATTTATAGACTTTCCAACATTTCCAAGTGCACTGTGCTAATAACCAGCATGAATATAAACAGCATCTATCTTAGACCACAATGCATAGCAGCATACAGCTAAGATAAGAGTAGAAAAAAGCAGGATAATAAACCACTGCCCTTCAGGGTTAAAGATATTCCACTGCAGCTGATACAGTTGCTTGCTACAGTAAGTTAGTAATGAAGGGCCAGTGATGAGAGCAAGTATTCATAAAGGAGGAATTTATAAACAGGGAGGTCATTGTTTTTCACATCCAGCCCTGTGGCGAGGAAAAAATGAAATAAAACAACATGGGAATTACACTTCTCTCGAACACTGCACTGCATAAGAAATCATGCTGCCCTCAACCATTAGGCCAATGTTTTTCAGTTCTGATTCTCTGAATATACATTCATATCCATTTTGTTTTATTACTGTAAGCTCTTCATGGTTTCATGACATGACTGTATCTTGGTCCAACAGGGAGGAATTGGACCAGTGGGCAACGCTGGATCCCAGGGAGTGAAAGGTTTCCAGGTCAGTTGTACGACATTATCAACTATTATCAGGTTATTTTTTTATATCTTTTGGGTAAACTCACTGGCTGTGTGTGTCTGTGTGTGTGTGTGTGTTTCTGTCATGCACTACAGGGGGTAAGCGGGTCCCTGGGCGATCCCGGTCTTCCAGGTCCAACTGGAATCCGTGGACAGTTTGGCGAAAGGGTGAGTGTGACGTATGTGGCGATATGAAAATTGCCCTAGGTCTTAACGTCATCTAGTGTAATCCATGATACCTTATATGGCTGTGACTTTCTTACAGTAATACAAATATATTCTCTCCATTATTATCAATTGTTATTTTCTTGGATTAAATTATGTTTTTAATATGTTTTAAACATAACACGTCTTTCGTAATGACCTACAGATTATCAGTTAGCTATCATAGAAGACCAAGAAAACAACATCTAGCTGGCAATGCAGACAACTATGGAAAAAAACATCTTCATATTATATTATACATTTTTTCTACACGAATATAGGAAATATGACCAAACAATGTGCATTAACTCAAGGTCTTTATCATGGTCTTTATATTCAGAAAATATTGATCGCTGAAGCAACTGAATTCTTTATTTATTCTCAATACGTTGACATATTGTTGATTCATCTTCAATCATCAATTCACTTATAGCACCAGCTCCAACACAGTAGGTAAAATCCCTCAAAGAAATCTACATTAAAAGGACAGAGATAAAACCAAACGTCTCTGCACACCAGCATATCGCAGACAGATATGTAACTATCCAGGTACAGCATGTCAATACGCAGTTCATCCCCTCCTCAGTCTTAGTGGTATGAACTCAGACGGCAGCCAGGAGAAACTCAAACACAAAAAGGCCTCCTGTTCAGAGTCTGAGGACAGAACAAAGCCGGTCTGTATGCCGCTCCTGGTTCCCCTCGTCGAGCCCACCTTACTTCCCTTCATCCCCCTTCCTTCTGCACAGCCGGCTTCCACAAATATCTCTACATGGCTCTCATTTATTCTCTCTCTCTCTCTCCTTTTTCAACCTTTTAGGGTCCCGTTGGAGCTTATGGAGCTAAAGGAGACATGGTAAATATTTAAGTCTGAGTTCAAGCTAAAATACAGAATGACTTCCTGTGTGTCCAAAGAGACACAAGAGATCGGACGTTTCTTAGTCAGGTTGTTCAAATTTAAAGGAAACGCATAGGAAAAAACTAAATTAACTTTGAGTTATCTGTTGTGTTCTCTAGGGTGTGGCAGGAAGTGACGGTTTACCAGGAGAGAACGGGGAACCTGTAAGTATATATTTGTTTCCACTGTTCAATCAGAATCCAAACACACAGTGTAAATGTCCAAGAGACACATTTCTTTGTTGGGTAGCTATCAGTTACATAATTGGTTCAGCAGGAGAAAACACATTAAACATGACATATTTGAAAATCTTTACATTGGTCTCCCATCAGTTTTAATTGATATGTTCTCATACTTATTTAGGAAGTACTTTTTTTTAAAACAGCTTTTAGTCTTTTTGCTGCCAAAGGATATCAGAGCAAAACATATGTTATGTTTTTATAAGAATGTATTATGGCCATTATTTAAATTAAATCGATGCATTTATGTTCTAAAATGTTTTCTCTATTTTATTGGTTTGATCATTTGTATAATTTATTGAAATCTTTGGATTGCACTGACTTGAAAACTGCCATACAGATTAAGTTTGTTTGCTGTGTAACGCTCAATAATGTAAAGTCATTTCGCCAATGTTGAACTAAACACACAGAATGTCTCTATTTTCAGGGTCCTTTCGGCCCAGTTGGACAAAAAGGAGAGGTGAGCGACATCAATGTTCTACATCTTTCTGCTTGATTATGTGTTCATCTTTTTTTATGTTGTGTTATTGTACTGTCTCTACGAATTACCCAGGGACTAAAAAGTGTTTTGAATTTAATCTCTATTTTGTTACTTGTGTTTACTCTGATACGTTTGCAGTGTTTTATACACCTACATGGACCTGATCACTTAAAACGATTTTAAAGATGCAATAGCAGAACGTCTATTAGCACTCAACTTAGTTAGTTTCAATGTTGTGTGTGTGGGTGTAATTAGCTGCACAAGTTTGTTTCCAAACTCCCTTTGTGTCGGCTCCCTTACTCACCATTAAAATGGAGCCTAGCTCCGAGCTGCTGCCCACTTGTCGAGTTGTGCACATGATTCTGCTTCACATTCCAGGTTTAATAGGATTAATTAGAGATAGGTATTGTTGCCTTAGCTTTATTGGCCTGTTCGCTGCTACCGCCACAAGGGAGACGAGTCACATTAAGAGCAGCCCAATTTAGTCAGAGTAATTGTCAAGCAACAAGACGCCATATTAATCCACCCCCGCATTGTCTCAACAGACCCGTGTGCTCCTTGGATTGTGTTTATTAAACGATCAAACTTTGGAACAAATTCATTTCTTTATTTTTGCTAAATGTACCGAGTTATTTACGAATGATACTCTGTGATTATAGTCAGGAAAGCGAGGTGAACTGGGACCTAAGGGCGTGTCTGGTCCTCAAGGAGAGCTCGGAGCAAGAGGGCCTCCAGGGAAGATAGGACTGATGGGCTTCCAAGGGGAGCAGGGTCTGCCTGGAATTGCCGGAAAGACAGGTGTACCCGTGAGTGGTTTTGTAAATCTTTAATGATCTTCTGATTGATTGACGCATGCATTTTTTATTTTATGAACTGCCTGAAAACATGGGTTATTTACTTGTGTTTCAGGGTATACTGGCGAGTGAGCAGCACATCAGAGAGCTGTGTGGCTTAATGGTCGATGGTGAGACTTCTTAATTTACCTTGTTCTGTGATTCACTCCAGTGTGGGATACAATCTAAACTGGATAATAAACCCTATGGTGTTTTCTATCATACAGACCAGATTGCTCAGCTGGCGGCTAACCTTCGAAGACCCCTGGCCCCTGGGATGGTGGGCCGCCCCGGACCTGCAGGACCTATAGGAGAGCCAGGAGACGCTGGCTCTATCGGGCATCCAGGTTCCCGTGGACCCCCAGGGTACAGAGGTCTGCCAGGAGAACTTGGAAACCCAGGAACAAGAGGTATGAAACATTCAAATCAGTATGGACTGATCTATTGAAAAAGTATCACAAGATAAACCTGAGGGTGATGAGATGATTAATGGGAAAGGAAAAGAAAATGCCAAACAAATGGGCATATGGTTTTGAAGTTCTCTCTGATTCTTGTTTTTTTGGGGATAATGGTCTGTGGGCCTTGATCAGTTATTTAAATGAAACCATTCGATCACTAACAGGGGCCGAGCCCCCTTAATGGAACTGCTCACAATGAGGAATAACTTCTCTTGTCAAATAAAAAAAGAGGAATAAAAATAACATTTCTGAAATACAGATTAAACGTGTAAAAAGAAAGTACTCAAGTGGAGAACAGTACTTGAGGAAATGCACTTTACACCATTGATTAAATTGTTCTGTTTTCACTACAGGTACTCTTGGAGAGCAAGGTGATAAGGGAACACTTGGTAAAGCTATTGATGGGCCAACTGGAGACCAAGGATACCAAGGTATGTGGCCCGAAACTTTCAATCTAATTTGTAGTTAACAACGTTGTAGCTTAAGCTCTTATTAAAGTCAGTAAATACTGAATAATTTACTGCCGCAAATGGAACATAGTCATCATAAATGGGATTAGCTACACCAGTGCTATTGGTGATAAATCAAAATTAGACAATGTGAGTCTATTGTGTAATTTGAACTGTTGGCATTGAAATCAAACAAGAAAGATTCGGTGGGAAAATGGTGGGGAGTTTTGTTAAGGAACCCCATCGCCTCACTTCGCAAGTTTCATCAATCTCATCACACCACAGGCGCCACTGCTTGCCGTGTATTGTGCCTGAGGTGAATGACCTTTGAGGCGATGTAGTTCCTCTAAATTCAACACTTAATCTCGTAAATTCAGAGTTTTTTTATCCAGATATTACCCTCCTCCCAGGCTATGTCATTATTATTATGTTGTACCTACTGTGGCGTTAATAGGTCACTTACATATCATGGAAAACAACCGCTTCTGTTTGTCTCTGGCTAATTCCTTCTATGCTTTCCACAGGTGTTCCTGGAGTAGCTGGAATTGTCAAAGACGGGCGTGATGGATCTCCAGGAGATCCAGGTGAGCCTGGAGAGTCAGGCAGGGTGGGTAGGACTGGGCACCAGGGAACACCTGGAATCTGTGACACATCAGCCTGCCAGGGAGCATCAGTCGCTGGAAAATCCTCCAACCCCAAAAACCATTAAACATCCTGAAACCTGGTGCCTCCACCTCGAGGAGGAAGGGTGATACGAGAGGGAAGGGAGGAATGAAGGAAGAGAGTGATCACAACAAATGTCCTCTTTATTAAAATACCTTTATCACAAGATGGGAAGAGTAACATCAAACAGGTGTGATATTTTGAGAGGAGAAGAGGAACATCCGAGGAGTGAGATGAAAACCAGAGCAACTGAGAGACAAAAACATCAAGATGACATCCAGAAACGAAGTGGACAGAGGCCAAGAAGAGTCCCAGAGAACAACAGCAATGCTCCAAATACTACAGTATCACATAACAAGACTTGACAACTGGAAGAGAACGAGTCCTTTTGTGTATAAAAACTTTGTACATGCTATTTCCATGCCCCCATTACCTTGGTTAACATTTTTCTGCAGATGATTCTAAAAACAACAGTGACTGGCTCTGAAGTGAATGTGCATGTATCATTGCCCATTCATGTCGATCACAGGTGTTACCTCAACATACAAGCTAACAGTGTAAAATATGGAAACAGGTGGCAGAGGCAAAACAACCTCTGTCAAGGAGCTGTGTATGTATTGTAAAAGGAATAAAAAACACAAATACCCAGGTGCCCAGCAATTGTGTAGATTAATGCAAAAACTTTTACCTTTTGATAGTCTTGTTTTTTTTTCTACAGCTTCTTTGTTTGTATTTTTAAATGATTCTTTAGCTTTGAGAATCAAAAACAACAATACTTGTGGATGCATAAATCAGACATTGTAAAATAAATGTAAGAACCTTAGGAGCAGTCTTTTTTTTTGGGGTAATCTACAATGACAACATCCACTATGTACTACCGGTGCTGTAACTATTAAATATACATGACCTTAAATACTATTTATTATTTGTGGGTGACTGTTGTATGTACAGTAAGATGCTACAGCGACATGTTGTAAGAAAGAACAAATAAAGCCACTTTTCAGTAAAGGATTACTCTTCTCTACATCAAATGAACAGTCTGCATGTTAGAGTAATATGATAACAGAAATGAATATCAAGTTATCCCATTCATTTACAGAACTTTAAATTAGGTGCAGATGAATTTAAGTGTATTTACACTTAAATATATGATTTAAGAATAAATGTATGTCGACAAGAAAACTGAACTGAAAATACTCTATGAACATTTTGAAATTTAAATTAATTCAATCAAAATACACTTGAATAAAGAATATGAAAAGGTGCTCAGATAGTTTAAGCTTGCTAAATTCATCGCTGAAGAGTTGAAATCGAGTTCATACAGAACTATCTGCTGTTTGCAAAGGGAAACAGTGCCACCTACAGTATGTATGACATGACAATCATGAATACAGCAGCCTGATGCAGTCTTAAGATGCTGCAGAAAAAAAATAGCCCTGATTAAGCATCACACGTTGTGGGACTGGAATAAATGATATATATAAACCATTGTAATGCAGTTAGAGGCAGAGCTCCTCTCAAAGGATGCTTTTTGTTTAAAACGTTAAAACACATTGACCTAACCCTTAGTGAGAACAGATGGAACAACCAAAGCTTGAATGTTAAATTCATCTCAAATGTCTGGCTGATGTATTAGATCAAGTATGGAAAGGGTCATTGCTCTACCCCAAGAGGGATGCTCAGCACCGTGTCCATCTCCCGCTGGATCGGGTTCTTGCCTGAAGAAGGGCTGGATTTCAGAAAGTGTTCTTTGCCCTCAGTGAAAGCCCTCTGAAACTCCTGTTGGGGGGAGAGCAGCACATCTTTCTGGTTAATGAGAGCAAGTATTAATAGTAAAGCTTTCCAAAAGGGACCGTGCTGGTGAAACATTCTACTACTCATTAGGGATGGGTATCGTTAAGGTTTTAACGGTACTACTACTTTTATCGATACTGCTTATCGATCCGGTCCTCGAACGGTATTCTTATCGGTTCTTTTAAAAAAAAAAAAAGGTAAATTAACTAAACAAAATTAATTTAATAAATAATATTTAACATCAAAATAAACAACAGTGTTTTAATAAATCGTATTAAATAATGTGATGACAGAACTGTAAACAGAATAGCTGAAACTTTAACAAAGTAAATAACTCAGTTACCTCTAATCATTAACCCATGTTTGTATAATTGAGTTAACACTGTGTGTTGCTGCTAGCATACATAACACCTGACGGATGGGGCTACAGAGCTACTAGAAAGACAGTCGAAAACGGTGCATTTGTCCGTCTGAATGTGAGGCACTTTTGCAAGATGATTAGACAAATTGCTCGTGTTACCTCCCTTACATGCTAAACTCTTATTGCACTGTTGGCAACGAGCACGCATGTAGCTGCGTGTGTGTAACTGCCCCGCCCCCTCGCACACAGACGGGGGAGAGAGATCTCTCGTCTGGATTGGAAAGATCGAAAATACATCATAGACGCATTTTTTTGTCTTTTTGCATGTTAGAAACGGAGTTTGCGACACTAAGACTACAATATAATGTTTAGGTGGCAATAATACACATGACGTATATGTTTTAAATGTCTCCAGCACCGATAAAAAGACCGATAACGTCGGAGCTTAACGGTACCACGGTCTTTAATAATTCAGCCCCCGGGGCCCCTTTAATACCGGGGCTCGGTACCCATCCCTACTACTCATCCAGCTGGGTACCTCATTTTTGATTGACAAGTTGCGATTCTCTGTGCATATAAATGACCACTTGCCTCTTCTTAACAACAAAGCATTCGTAACCTCTATGTGCTTTATTACAGAGAATCCATCTATAAGACGCATTGCAAAGGAACACTAAACCAGGCTTATGTCATATAAGGAAAATGTAGGCAGCCTTAGCCTCACACTGTCACTGTCTGACAGAAACTACAGAACTAGATCATTCCCACACAGTAACATAATCAAGTTCATTATTTTATACTTTAAAACTCAGAAGAATAAGATTTGAACTTTAAGTTATATCAAGCAAATGAATAATGCTATTTAACTGAACACAAATGTACCTCTTTGAAGGTGTCTCCATATGTTTTATTGATGTATTTAAGGAAGGCAGTGGTCATCTGCAGGGTGGTGACTTTGTCTGTATCCAACTCACAGAATGGCACCAGCATGTTCAGCTCATCACAGTACAAACGGATCCTCTTCCTGTGCAGAAAATAGGGATGCATATCGTTGACTTTTTTACGATACCGATACCGATACCACTGAACGATACCGATACTCGACCGATACATATCGTGATACTTTCATGTTGCATAAGGGAAAAATTGAAGCGCTTTATGATATAGTTAACATGTCAAATGAATATTACAATTAATTGTGGGACTTCGACCTTTTAGTACTGAACAAACAATGAAAAACACGCTTGACAACACGGGCTTGAAGACTGTACATTCCTGTACTCCGATTTTATGTGACAGTAGCAAATGTTTTGAGAGGTCGGATGTGTTGCCGCCTTTCCCAGAAATAAACTTCTTGCAGTGGTTACAGACCACACCATTCAGACTGGCAGTCATATGCAGACACACTTTAGATTTTCGTGCCGACATCGAGCTAATGAAAAAACGAAAGCTAACCGAAAGGCTCAGACGTTCGGGAGGAAGGTGAAGGGCGTTGCTTGGCAATCAAGCCAATCACCGAAGCCGTTGCAATACGCGCAATCTGATTGGCTGGCGGTTTGGGCGTGAGTTTATAGATATTACGCCTAACTTTATATAAAACATTTTTTTTTTTTTTTAAACGGATCTGATTTCGGTACGGTATACCGTAGCCACCAGTAACCGGTATTTCGGTAATACCGGGAACCGGTATGCACCCCTAGCAAAAAACAATACAAATGTTTATAATCTCTCTAATTAATACATTAGTCGTTTGGCCAAAGAAATTCTAAAACCAAAATCAGTTGGGAACTTCCCAGTAGAGAACCTAAAACCAGGGAATGTTTGGGATGGGTGATTGAATTGAATTTAACATTTATCAAAATTGACTGAAAGAGCCGGTTGCAGACTGACAAAGCATATTCAAGTTTCTGCAGTTATTTATTTATTCCATCCTGCCAGCACAACCAATCTTTATTCCTAGTTGTGTAGCTTAGGCCTCTGTGGCTGAGCATTGTTAGCATAGTAAAACACATGTGGGTATAGCATGCTAAACTCATTTGAGTATACATACTATCATCATTAGCAGTGTTAATTACACATCCACTCAATTAATACAGAATTATTTCAAATGTATATATTGGTTATTGTGACCTCAATTGATCAAAAATGTTTGTTATAGAGCTTCAATCCCTATTACCTGCTTGTCATGGGTCAAAATGCCAAACAGGAAGTGAGAGCATCCAATAGGCTTTATAGTAGATGGGACTGTACCACGTTGAGCAAGGACAGAGGGTACGTTTGACATTTTATATTGTTAACGTTTGTATACGTATTATGAAAATTAGAAAAAATTGTTGTTTAACATGATAATTGTATTGTCTTAATTCAATATGCACTGGCAGTACTCTCTCTTTCACCGTGTTCATATATCATTTTGTTGACTACCTTAAATCGCTGAAATATAGGGAATAAACAAGGAACTCATTCCGGACACAGTCTGTAGTGAAAGCTGAGTAAGGCATATACACCTTTGAAATTATATTTCATTAAACCTCATCAAAAATGTATGATGGTGCAGAAACACTTTCTGCTTTTGGTTATGAGTGCTCACCTGCGTTCCCTCTCCTTAATGTTGTGTTTCTCCCTGCGCTGGATATGTGACATGTGGGGTCGAGCTCTTTTCCTGGTGCTGCTCCCTGATTTTCCGGCGAAGTCTGGGTTAGTCGAAGCAACCTTTGTAGGTGGAGAGCTTTGGGTACAACCATGCTTCCTGAAGGCAGTACGTGTCACCACATCATCTATGGAAAACACCACAGTGTATAAGATGTAAATAGAACACAAAGAAGAAAAAAAACATTTGTTTTGACAAGACAAGGTTTATTAGTCCTGATTATTACTTTCTATGTTGAACAACAGCTGGTCCTCTGTTGAGTTGCAGCCACCGGTGAACTGAGATTTTGTACCAACCCTCTCTGGGCAGAAATTAATCGAGAAACTCTTTGGGATGATTAAACCCTGGTGCTTGTTAGGTTCAATCATGTGAGGAATATGGCCAATCACCTGAGGTCCAAATAGGAAGAAGAAAAACATATTGATCAATTAATTCTGCCTGTGATGCCCTTAAAGCTGTAGTAAATTGCATTTTAATATATTTGTTTCATACTTGTTCACACATGTTGGGTATTGGGGTAAATACACCCCCAACAAATGGGCTGGAAACATCAAACCGCATTTGAGGGTGTTTGACTGCATCTTGAGCCTCAGCAGACTGCTGCAGCATTGTCAGAAAACTGAAACACAACAACAAAGATTTAGCCATTTCCATTACATTTAGCATTATGGGGTTATGTTACTTAACACGTAGTAATACACATTAATAGGAATGCCTACTTGCTAAGAACTGCCGACTTGATATCTTGATGTCTTGGGGTGTCAGCAGACATGGTGTTAAATCTCTTCTCCAAACAAACTCTAGCAGCAGATACAGATTTTTTCTGTGAAGATGAGCTGCTGTTGGAGTAAGGTTCACTCTGGCTGTCTTCTTCTCTGACTCTGGCCAGCACAAAACCTGGGACCTCTCCATAAGAAGCTGGTGTCTTTTCTCCTGGCATCAGACTGTGGTCATCAGTTGAAGTCGAAAGGTCAATAGCTTGAGTGGTTGCTAAGGGGGATTGTGCCATGGATCCAGTGGTGTCTTTAACCATCACTGTAGCACTTGGATGAGATTTGGCATAAGGCAAATCTAAAGGGGTAATGTGTGCCTCCACATGTGCCTGGATAAGGTGCTGAAAGTTTGTATATTCAACCTCTGACAACTCCATCATGCCGAGCTCAAGTCCCATCATGGGCCCATGATCATGTGTCAAACATCCACCTTGGCTCAAAATCACCCCAACAGGGTCAAAGGTGTGTTCTCTGGATGAAGGTGATACATAGAGGGAAGACATACTTCACTCTAGAGTTGGGATGAAGAGCAGAAAAAAAACGTTCAGTTATACCAGAACAGGCTTTTAATAGTTGTAGCTACAGTCCATGTTAACAGTCCATGGTAATCACAATGTAAATGGTAATGACAATGTGAATTTGCACTATCTTCCTTTTAATGCACCATTATATTATCTTAAATTGAAATTAGTTTTGTATTCTGTTAATTCAATGGTAAATATGTATAATTGTATGCATTTTAGTGGCTCTGTATTCGATGTGATATCAATCTTTTGTGACTATTTTATGAGATTGTAATTCTCTACTGTGAAGTACTTTGAACAAATTAAGCTTATTAATAATATCATTATAATTATTAATATATTGTTATCAACCGACCTTAACTTAATGTCGCCCTGTAAGCGGCCTTGTCCAGAATTTATCCTAGTAAGAAACGAACATTGTAACGTAAACATATTAACACGGAAAATACTGCCATTAAACAACTAATCCACAACTTCAAGTAAACAGTGGTGTAAAAAAAATTCCGTTGCTAGCAGTCAAATACTACGTGACATTAAATTAGCATACGAGGAACTTTAAGCTAGTAAGCTAACCTTACATTTGACAAGACGTTGGCTATAGGCTAACGTTACATTTGAAAATACGTTTACAATCGAGGTAAATAACGATAAATCATTACAAACATGTTTAAAAGTCCACTAACAAGTCTTTAAATGTATAACGAGCTAAAATATATTATTAAACTCTGTTTGCCTTATTATTGGGCCTTTACTTACTTCAATGCCAACTCCTTACTTGACCGATGGACGCTGGGTAGTACCGACCTCTTTACACTGTGAAGCTGTCATGGCTGAAGCCTCGGTTTATTTATTTTGAATGTATCATATATTTTACAGACGAAAAAGACTGCGTCAATATCCGTAGTGCTAAAACCCAATTGTGTACAAGCATTGATGAAAAGTTAATTAATTACTTTGAGCACCAGTAACGGTAGGCCTATTATTTCCAGTCCATTATGCTACTACTACAAGAGTGTAGGAATACTCTGTTATAAGTAAGAGTATAGTATTCAAAATGTTACTCAAGTAAAAGTACAAAAGTATTAGCCTCAAAATATTCTTAAAGTACCAAAAGTAAAAGTAGCTAGTTTTAATTACTTTGTTGTGAATTTACTCCAGTAAACTGTAAAGTCTTATTTAAGTGTTGTTTATATTTCACATTATTATCATACAAATCTGCAAAATTAATAAAGGTATAGAATAAATGTAGTGGAATAAATGTAGTGGAATAAAAGAATACGATTTACCTCTGATTTGTAGTGGGGTAGAAGCACAAAGTAGCATAAGATGGAAATACTCAAGTAAAGTACAAGTATCTCAAAATTGTACTTAAGTACGTACAGTACTTGAGTCAATCTACTTAGTTACTTTACACCACTGAGAGTAGTCTACTGGACTAAATAACTATTGCAAACGTTTTTTTGAATGAAAGGCTCTTCAAGAATATACTTTAAAGTGACATACAGTTCACCCCAACTGATTGTCCTGACAATGACACAATGGGGTTGGATTAGAACAGAGAAGATATGTATGCATTTCATCTGTAAAGTAACCAGTAACTGTGGCTCTAGGACAAATATAGTGGGGTCATAATAACACTGAATACTTTCCTATAAAATGGAGTATACTTTTCAGTCATGTATATCAATCCCAAAATTGTAGGCTACTTAATAGTCTAGCAGCAAGTCCTCAAAAAAGGCTTTCGTTTTCGAGATACCCCTACCCGAGGTAGAACAAAACACCCAATCCCTGAAAAAGAGCCAAATACCAGGCCGAATATGGGAAAGGTGACAAAAAAGCCCATAACTTGAGAATGATCACTCTTTTCCTCTTCAGATTTGCTGAGGTATGAACCAGGTGGCTGTCCTACATCACCAAATAGTCAGACAATTATTTACCTAAAGAAATACTGAATTATAGTCCTGTAAACTTAGCTTTAGTTTAGACGGAAATTGTACTTTTTGGTGATAGGAACATAGGGCTCAATCACTTTTCTCTCATTTATCAGAAAAACTGAAATCCCTAAAATATATGCCATTACTGAATTGTCTAGGGTGCTATTGAACACTAACCAGTAGTTGTATGGAAATATCTGGGACAGTCCTATTACAAATTAGATTTCTTTAGACATAGGCCTACCTCTTCTCTGATACAATCAAATTCCGAATGGGGGAGAAGTAGCATAATAGCCTATAAGTTAAGAATGCTCACTCTGATGGTCATCATATTTGGAGAGGGAAATACCAGGTGGCTGAACTACATCACCAAAAAGTCAGAATTAGAGTAACCCAATAAAATAAAGTGTATTAGTTCTAAATTGCAAGCCTCTAAAACATAGGTGTAAATAGTACAGGTTTTATTGAAACTGGAACCTTAATTCAAAGTACAGTATACAAATCATCAAATAATTATGTGAGAGGTCAAGTATAGATACTAGAATAGAATGTTAAATGTCAGGTTCCTCAGAAACGTTAGGGGACACATTTTGACATTCTGCACAGCATGGTGCAGAACTCCGTACAGGGAAGGCCAACAGAGAGGCACTGGCACTTTCCGTTGCACTTTCCACTCTCTCCACACTTTGTATCTTTGCAATACAAGTGAGTAATGTCTCTCACTTCTGTAGATGCTGGGGTTTTTGTAAATAGCACTGGTTGAATGGCCCCATCTCTGACAATCCACCCCATGCCAATAGGACTCCATAACAAAGGTTTGGGTTCGGGCTGTGACACCATATCGCTGTCTGAAACATTACTCTTTGTACATGTTGTTGAAATGCATCCTCTGTTGGCGGCAGATTTTCAGAGGCTGCATCTGTTGTTGATGCAATTATGAACCTCAGTCCATTTTCCTTTTTCTTTTTTCCATATAGCAGAAGCGCAAATTATCTTGCGACTGGCAAAGACTGTAGTTTTGGACATTTGTTTTGCTTAAGGTTATAACACTTGTGTTATTCTTCAGAGCTGGGTCCTCATCACAGGTCTGCACTTTTTTAAATGCACCTGAATTGACACACCCGTTCACAAAATCATACATAGTGTTTGGCACATATTATATATATGTATATATATATATATATATATACATATATATATATATATTTACATATATATATAGAAAACAAGAAATGAAATGTGTGGTCATGGTATTTGACAGGTATGACGGCCCACAGTCAATCAAAGACCTGGAGAGGCAAAGGAGAGGTGCAAGTGATGGAAGGCCTACACATGTTATCACTGGCAAAACAAATGTCCCAAACTACAGAAGTACTTGAGGAGTAGTGGAAACAAGACTGCACTGTGCATGTTTGTGAGCAACTACATTGTCACTGCTGCCCCACAGAGACTACACTCATGTGACTCCATCATCTTGGCAGGTGGATTTGACAAAGGGGAGGAAGTGAAGAGCATCTGCACAGCAGGAGTCAGCAGTTTGACATCACTGTACAGTGATCAGGAGGAGGCAGACACAAGGATGGTGCTCCATGCCATACATCTTGCAGAGTCATATTCCTGCATCATCGTGAGGTTTGATGACACAGATGTGGAAGTAGTGCTCATATATAATGCAAGCAAATACATGTTTGGTTCATCTCTAGTGTACATGCATGCAGGCCATGGAATGAGAGAGAGATATGTCCCCACCAACACCCAATGTGAGAAAATTGGAAAAGACATGTCTAACTGTCTACCAGCATGTCATGCACTCACTGGCTGTGACACAATAAGTAGTTTGTACAGAATAGGAAAGACAACAGCATTCACCAAACTCAAGACCCATCTCAGCGAGCTCAAAGATCTGGCCCATTTTGGACTCTCTGCCAGCTTGGAAGAGTCTTTGCCAGTCGCAAGAGAATTTGCGCTTCTGCTATATGGAAAAAAGAAAAAGGAAAATGGACTGATATGCACAAACTTGGATGAACTGAGGTTCATAAATGCATCAACAACAGATGCAGCCTCTGAAAATCTGCCGCCAACAGAGGATGCATTTCAACAACATGTACAAAGAGGAATGTTTCAGACAGCGATATGGAGTCACAGCCCGAACCCAAACCCTTGTTATGGAGTCCTATTGGCAAGGGGTGGATTGTCAGAGATGGGGCCATTCAACCAGTGCTATTTACAAAAACCCCAGTACCTACAGAAGTGAGAGACATTATACTCACTTGTATTGCAAAGATGCAAAGTGTGGAGAGAGTGGCAAGTGCCAGTGCCTCTCTGTTGGCCTACCCTGTACAGAGTTCTGCACCTGCTGTGCAGAATGTCAAAATGTGTCCCCTAATGTTTCTGAGGAACCTGACATTTAACATTCTATTCTAGTATCTATACTTGACCTCTCACATAATTATTTGATGATTTGTATACTGTACTTTGAATTAAGGTTCCAGTTTCAATAAAACCTGTACTATTTACACCTATGTTTTAGAGGCTTGCAATTTAGAACTAATACACTTTATTTGATTGGGTTACTCTAATTCTGACTATTTGGTGATAGTTCAGCCACCTGGTATTTCCCTCTCCAAATATGATGACCATCAGAGTGAGCATTCTTAACTTATAGGCTATTATGCCACTTCTCCCACATTCGGAATTTGATTGTATCAGAGAAGAGGTAGGCCTATGTCTAAAGAAATCTAATTTGTAATAGGACTGTCCCAGATATTTCCATACAACTACTGGTTAGTGTTCAATAGCACCCTAGACAATTCAGTAATGGCATATTTTTTAGGGATTTCAGTTTTTCTGATAAATGAGAGAAAAGTGATTGAGTCCTATGTTCCTATCACCAAAAAGTACAATTTCTGTCTAAACTAAAGCTAAGTTTACAGGACTATAATTCAGTATTTCTTTAGGTAAATAATTGTCTGACTATTTGGTGATGTAGGACAGCCACCTGTTTCATACCTCAGCAAATCTGAAGAGGAAATGAGTGACCATTCTGAAGTTATGGGCTTTTTTGTCACCTTTCCCATATTCGGCCTGGTCTAATTTGGCTCTTTTTCAGGGATTGGTGTAGTTCTAAAGAACCCAAAAAACATTTTTTCCCCCAAAATAAAATTTGACAACAATCAATTTCATTAACGGGAGACCCTAAAAGATAAGAAAAATCATTGTTGTGTTTTGTTCTTCCTCGGGTAGGGGTATCTCAAAATCTGAGGGCCCTTCCTGCTAGACAATAAGTACAGTACTGGAGTCAATGTGTTTACACTCACATAAATGTTAATTTAAAAAAATCAACAACTATTTTAAAGGTGTGCTAATGAAGATTCAATTGAATGCCGTCGCTCCCGTTTGGTAAGACATGAGACTTGCAGGTGGATATGGAGGGTTATACAAAATTGCTACAGGCAGATTCTCTAATTGCCTTTTTACGTTCATGACAGACACAGTATTTGAACTCTTTCTCTTAATGTATTTTTACTTTAGTAGAATTGAATGGTTCTTTCATGCAGTATTCTTGGATGGTGGCTTTTTCTCTTAGAATCTGAAATAGTTTTCAACAATTTGTAAATTAAACACATATGAACCTCTGTAAAAGGGACTTTTTAATTGTACCTTGTAGCCAGTGTATGCACTACATAGCAATCATCAATTCCAAATATTGATGATAAAATCAGAGTAAATGCACATTTAAAAAAGGAATTTCATTTTATTGACTTTATGCATTTCGAAAGTACAATGAATTTGATTACTTAAAACAACAGAACATTAAGGCTACTGCACTGGCACTATGGCCATGATGAAACATAATAATAATAAAAAAAACATGGCTGTTAAAAAACAAAAAAAACAATATTTTTTACATTTTCTGTACAAAACCTTTCTGACTGTTTCCAACTAGACTGAGCATGAAGTTGAATTTACAAGTGATCGGTTAAATGTAAGTAGCATTTAATCAGCACATATTACAAAAATAAATTCCCAACCTTTGAATACAAGACAAATCAACACCTAGTTTACTCAAATATCTCTTAGAATGTCATTATCAAGCTACAATGTCAGGTTTTTTGCATTGCTTGTCTGTAGGTCTTTGCGGAGTAATACATTCAAAATGTGTTAAGCTCTCAGTCTCATTGTGATTTAATAAGATGATACTAAGCCTTTCCGCAGGACTAGTTCTTACTTACTGTCCTGAGGAGTCAATGCTTTTAGCCTGTCTAACTTGGCTGGACATTGCTTTTTTCACTTTCATTCCCCACTTCCATTTTGTCATCTCTGACCCTTGTGCTTGCATCTTCAGTTTTGCTTATTTTACAAGCAGGACCTTTTTCCTGCTCCTGGCTTGGCGCTTTAACCAACTCTTTTTCTTGAGTCAATGGTCTACCTACTGGTCTACACTCTCTTTCAGTTGGGCTACCCATTTGTTTTCGATTTTGGCTAAAAACATCAGGATGGTTAATTATACGATTTGGAAAGCGCACGAGACCTGTTGGGGTAGGAAGTAGGGCAACTCTGTGTGATTGTCCTCCACTGTTTTTAGCTGCACCTATGTTTGATTCAGAATCTGGATCACTAGGGCCTTGAGATCTAGTACTTTGATGAAGACTATTGAAATGAGGCGAGGTGCCCCTTATATCTGATCCTTGCATGTCTATGTTTATGGGATGTTTAGATCCCCTTAAATCTAACCCTGGGCCCATTATGCCTGGACCCCTCCTATCAGACCCAGGCCCCTCAGTTTCTGTAGGCCACCGCCCAGGTCTGACATCTGAACTTCCAGGTGCTGGCTCCCTATTGGTATTACCATGTCCTATTCTTCTCATGTCTGGACCCCTCATTTCTCTCCTAAAATCATGCTGAAATCCTTGTCTACCTGTTCCAGGGTTTTCCATGTCTACCTGCCTTTCAGATCCTAGTCCCCCACAATCTGAAAATCTCCCATCAGTCCCAGGTCCTTCCATGTTTCGCCCTCTCTTCATACCCCTGAAGTCTGGCTTCCTACAGTCATCCCCCATATCTTGACCCCATCTCATATCGGATCCTGGTTCTCTCATGCCTGGATCTCTTATATCATGGCATTGTCCACTGTTTTCTGTATCTCTTTGCCTACTGAAAGATGGCTCAGGCCTCCTTCTGTTTGGCCCAAACCCTCGATCAGGCTCTCTCCTCCCACGTCGTCCCCTACTGGGCCCTAGGCATTTCATATCTGGGTCACCCTCGACAGGATCTGGACCCCTATAACCAGGACCATCATCTCCTGGACCTCTCAAAGGCCCGGGAAATGGCATATTTTGTCTTTCTTGTATGGGCCTTGGCCCAATACTTTCAGGGCCACTCCATCCCCTTCGAGGACCTTGCCTAGAATGTGCTTGAGCATGCTCAACTGGACCTTCTTGGTTGGGGCCTGGACCCCTGTTGCCATGTCTTTTCCAATCATCTCCTGAACATTCTATTTCATTTCCTACAGCCTCCATATTGGGCCCTCTTCCATCTGACCATTGTTCCACTGTGTCTGGGCCTCTCATATCAGGTGCAGAGCCCCTGAAACTTCTCATATCTGGCCCATGCCCTCTTATGTTTCCCCTGATAGGCCTTGAACCCCTTAAGTTTCGAGATATAGGTTCTTGGATAGGTTCTGATCCTCCATAGTCAGCCTCTCCCCAGCCATCTCTTCTTTGTCTCATACCTTCTCTTTTTGGACTTCTGTGCCTGATTCCTGGGTCCCTAAAGTCATGACTACCTGGTCTTCTCCAATCTGGTCCTTGGCCCTCAGAATCTGGACTCCTCCTTTCAAGTCCAGGCTCTTTGAAGCCTGAGTCTCCTGGTTCTTGTCTGTCAGGCCCTGGGCACTCAATGTCTGGACCTCTAAAATCTAGACCTCTTGGACATGGACTATCGAGCCCTGGAACCTCCATAACATTTCTTTCAGGCCTAACTCCTCTTAAGTGCGGATTTCTTCTATCAGACCCTGGGCCCACTATGTCTGAAGGTCTTCTTTCTAGCTCAGGAGCCCTAAAGTGTTGGCCACCTGGAAAGTCCCTGCTGTCAGAGTTTTCCTCTGTCTCTGGAAGCCTTCTATTTGGACCACAACCTCTAAAATGTGGACCTTCTCTCCTCTCAGGTCTTGGGCTCTCTTTGTTTGGATCTGAATGCCCTGGTTTCGTCATGTCTGGACCATCTGACATTGTCCTGTTTAAATCTGGACCCTCCATACCAAAACCTTGTCGTCCCCTGTTGTTTGGAGCTCCAGGTCCTCTCATGTCAGGCCCAGAACCTTCCATTGCTTGATTTCTAGTTAAAAGTCCTGGTTCGCTGAAATCTGGACTGCCAGGACCTCTAATGTCAGGCCCAGGTCGCTCCAAAGATGAACTTCTCCTTTCAGACCCAGGTCTTCTGAAATGTGGACCATCAGGTACTACTTCCTGTCCTCTAACTCGAGGCCCTGGACCTTCTATACCTGGACCACTAAAGTCTGGAACTTCTGATTCTCCTGTGTAAGGCCCCAAACCAGTGATACCAGGACCTCTTATATTGGATCCTGGTCCACTGAAATCTGGACCTCCTGGTCCTCTTCTGCCAGGTCCTGGAGCCTCCATAGATAAGCTTCTTCTCTCAGGTCCTGGTTCTCTGAAACCTGGACCTCTAGTACCTCTCCTGTCAGGCCCAGGACCCTCCATAGATAAGTCTCTGCATTCAGACCATGGTCCCCGGAAATCCTGACCTTGAGGTCCTCTCCTGTCACGCCTAGGCCCCTCCATAGATAAGCTTCTGATTTCAGGCCCTGGTTCTTTAAAATCTGGACCTCCGGGGACTCTCATGTCAGGCCAAGGACCCTCCATAGCTGGACCTCTTCTTTCAGGTTCTGGCTCTCTGAAATCTTGACCACTAGTTCCTCTTCTGTCAGGCCCAAAACGCTCCATAGATAAACTTCTTCTTTCAGGCCTTGGACCTCTGAAAACTGGACCTCCAGGTCCTCTCCTGTCAGGCCCATTACCCTCCATAGAAAAGCCTCTGCTTTCAGGCCTTGGCCCCCTGAAATATGGACATCCAGGTCCCTTGTCGGGTCTAGGAGCATCCATAGCTGGACTTCTTTTTCCAGTTCCTAGATCTATGAAATCTGGACCTCCAGGTCCTCTCCTGTCGGGCCCAGGACCCTCCATAGCTGGACCTCTCCTTTCAGCTCCTGGTCCTTTAAAATCTGGACCTCTAGGTCCTTTCCAGTCAGGCCCAGGACCGTCAAAAGCTCGACCACTCCTCTCAGGCCCTGGCACCGTGTAATCTGGACCTCTGGGCTCTCTCCTGTCAGGCCCAGGACCCTCCATAGCTGGACTTCTACTTTCAGGTCCTGGTCCTCTGAAATCTGGACCTCCTGGCCCTCTCCTGTCATGCCAGGGACCATCCATAGCTGGACCTTTACTTTCAGGTCCTGGTCCTTTGAAATCTGGACCTCCAGGCCCTCTTCTGTCAGGCCAGGGGCCATCCATAGCTGGACCTCTCCTTTCAGTTCCTGGTCCTTGGAAATCTGGACCTCCAGGTCCCCTCCTGTCAGGCCCAGGAGCCTCCATAGCTTGACCCCTCCTTTCAGGAGCTGGTCCTTTGAAATCTGGACCTTCGGGCCATCTCCTGTCAGGCCAGGGACCCTCCATAGCTGGACCTCTTCTTTCAGTTCCTGGTCCTTGGAAATCTGGACCTCCAGGCCCTCTTCTGTCAGGCCAGGGGCTATCCATAGCTGGACCTCTTCTTTCAGTTCCTGGTCCTTGGAAATCTGGACCTCCAGGTCCCCTCCTGTCAGGCCCAGGACCCTCCATAGCTTGACCCCTCCTTTCAGGAACTGGTCCTTTGAAATCTGGACCTTCGGGCCCTCTCCTTTCAGGCCCAGGACCCTCCATAGCTTGCCCCCTCCTTTCATGAGCTGGTCCTTTGAAATCTGGACCTTCGGGCCCTCTCCTTTCAGGCCCAGGACCCTCCATAGCTTGACCCCTCCTTTCAGGAGCTGATCCTTTGAAATCTGGACCTCCAGGCCGTCTCCTGTCAGGCCAGGGACCCTCCATAGCTGGACCTCTACTTTCTGGTCCCGGTCCTTTAAAATCTGGACCTCCAGGCCGTCTCCTGTCAGGCCAGGGGCCTTCCATAGCTGGACCTCTTCTTTCAGTTCCTGGTCCTTGGAAATCTGGACCTCCGGGCCCTCTTCTGTCAGGCCCAGGGCCCTCTATTGATGAGCCTCTGCTTTCTGGCCCTTCTCCCCTATAAACTGGACCTCTAGGTACTCCCCTGTCAGACCCAGGACCCTCCATAGCTGGACCTCTCCTTTCATGTCCTGGTCCCCTAAAATCTGGCCCTCCAGGTCCTCTCCTGTCGGGCACAGGTCCTTCCATAGATAAGCCTCTGCTTACAGGCCCTGGTCCCCTAACATCTGGCCCTCCAGGTCCTCTCCTGTTAGGCCCATGACCCATCATATCCTGATCATTCATTTCAAGTCCTGGTCTCACAAAATCTGGACCCCCTGGTGCCATGAAATTGGGACCCACTGATCTTTTCCTTTCAGGCCTAATGTCCTCTATCAGTCCACAGCTCATTTCAGACGCTGGTTCTCTAAAGTCTAGGTCTCCAACCCCTCTTCTGTTAGGCACCTGGTTCTCCAGGTTTGGACCTCTACTGTTAGGCGGAGGGACTCTCCATTCATCTTGTATAAATGGCCCTTCTCTGAGTGGACCTGATCCTCTCATATCTGTACCTCTGCAATCATCTCTTATGACTGTTCCTGGGTGACCACAATCTATACCTCTCATATGTAGGCCCAGGCCTATATTTTGACTCGTTTGACCCCTTATATCAGGACCAGCAACGGGACCTGGACCACTCCAATCAGGAGTTTTAAAGTTAAGCATGCCATCACCCCTTGTATTTGAGCCACCCATACTACCAATATCTTGACTAGGCCCCATGTAACTTCCTCTTTGTGTCATATTTGGCCTTCTTAATTCACAAATAGTTTCTGATTCTTTCATGTCAGTGCCATGCACACTCTTTCCAGCTGTCATACCGGGACTTGTCTTCTTAAAAGGTTCTCTAGGCCCACTGTCTTCTCCAAAGAAGGGTATGTTAGAACCACCACTTTCATAATTAATGTTTGGCCCTGGTCCTCTCATGGGTACATTTTGCCCTTTTTGTGGACCCCACCTCTCATGAGCAAATAAAGGCTCTCTTGTGCCCCTTATATCGGCTTCAGTTCTATGTGACGAAGGGCCCTTTATGACTAGATCTCTACTCTTGTTCTGTAGATCTGATCCTTCCCCACATGAATTTATAACAGCTGGTACAAGCATTTGTCCACTCACTTCTGTCTCACTGTGCATCATATCAGGAGCTGGAGCTGTGAGTTCTAGGTTCAAGCCTTGCATACTAGATACGTTTTGTGTATGTGATCCAGGACCCCAAATGGTGGTACCTTTTCCTTGCATGTCTGGGCCTCTCCTATTGGGGCCTGGGAATCCAGTTTCTGTTACTCTAAGATCTATCTGTGGTTCAATATGTCCAGGTCCTGGCTGTTTTGTCACAGGATGTTTTTCAGTTCCTGAGGCCTGAATATCTGAGCCTATAGCTCGAATTGAATCACCCTCCCCTTGACCCAGTATTTTAGGATGTTTTAAGCCTGGATGTCCCCTTTCTATCTGTTTGTCTGCCTCTTTTATAACCTCATCTTTGACCCCTTGCCCCTCTAGAACTAAGGCACCTCGACCGGTTGGCCACAGTATTTTGGACATTGTTGCTTGACCACCAATAGGCAAACAAATACTTTCAACTTTATCATGTGGCATTGAGACACTGGTAAGGGTCTGAGGATCTCTGATTTCCTCAATTTTAGGGCCCCTCTTTTCTGTGCTAATAGGTTTTACAAACTGTGGCTCTGGATCAGGGCTCTGAGGAGAATCTCGAATGGGCGGATCAGTTTCACGTAGAGGAACTGGAATTTCAAATTTGCTAAACAGAGTTTCAAGTTGAGAGGGTATATTTACCTGGTTAGAGGAACCACTATCTCTGTCGCCACTGACAGACGTGTTTTGAGGCTCTTGGGATTTTGGATCTTTTAAAGTATTAAGCTTCACATTGTGAAGAAGTTCATGTGAAGAGGGAGAAAAGCCTTCATCAACACTCTTAACAAGATTACTTTTTAGCTGATGTCCAACAGGAGGGTAATTTTTAATAGTAACTGAACTGGATGATGATTGGTTACTCCCTAAAAATGTTCTATCAACAGAGTCTAAAGAGTCTGGAGCATTACACAGAACAGTTAAAGGCTTTGATATCTCAAGGACTTGAGGTGAAGGATCTCTGTTCCATTTTGGCGATAAGGACCCAGAATCTGTTTTTCTAGGAGAACATGGGGATCTTCTACGCCCATGAGAATGCTGCCGTGGGGTATGCTCTTTATGTTGGCGACCTTGGCGGTCAGACTGGTCTCTGGCTCTATGCCTTGACCTGTCCCTTTCACTTTTTCTGTGTCTATCCTTTTCTCTATGTCTCCGGGAATGTGAAGGAGAACGTCGCTGTGATCTTTTAGAAGGACTTCCATGGCGGCTCCTTTCATGATGACTCCGCCTCTTTGGTGATAACCTTCTCTTTCTGCTGTGGTGTGAACTCAGAGGACTGCCCTTGCGAGAGGCACTAAGCCCTGTTCTCGACAAAGATAAATCACGGGTCTTTATACTGCCTCCTTGAAAAACATCATCTTGAATTTCATCAAAAAGTGATTCGTCTTCAGGATCATAAGCTACATCAGAGTCTTCAATCTCACCCGCAGAGGAATATTTGTCACTTTCTTTAACATCAGCCTGTGTTTTATCTTGCTCTGTAACTGTTTCTGCATCATTTTCTACATTAGGTGTGGCAGTTGTGTCTTGTTTAACAGTTTGTGAATCTACATTTGAACTGTCCTCAGTCTCTGTAAGGTTGCTGGTCTTGTCTGTTGATTCTGACAGTTGACTGAGAGGCAAAGCTTTTTGTTGGGGAGTCATCAGGGAATCAGAAACAGAAAAGCGAGCCATAAAGATACCAACAGCCTCTTTCTGTTGACGTATGGCCTCTTCCTGCTCCTTCAATTGCTGTTTTTGCTCTTCAATCTGCCTATTGAGATCATCAAGCATTCGTTGTTGTTCAGTTAGTGTTGCAGCTGAGACAACCACAGTGCCTGTAGGAATGTTCTGCATTATTACAGCTTGGGTAGAGGATTGCACGGCAGTGGAGTTGGGAGTTGGTGTTTTAATCTGGGTGGATATTGAGGTTTGGCATGATGGAGTACCTGACGTCTGAGCAGGGGGCTTTGTCAAAGCAATATCCCTTTGCATATCTGCAAAGATAGTGTCGTCTTCTGGATCATAGGCCACATCATCGTCTACACAGCCTGATACTGCAGGGCCCTCTGTCTTCATTTTCTCAATGTTCTGAGGAGCAACCATTCCATATCCCATTGCTGAATCATACTCCTCTTCTGGGTCATATGGTCGGTCAAAGTCATTTTCTTCTTCTTCTTCTATTTTCTTTACTTTTGATTTCTGTCCATATTGTTGGACAATTGGATCCACCATTGATCGAGACACCTTAGAAAACACTGGGACCTTCTTAACATGAACTGTTGCTGTTGAAGATTGTATGTCAGAAGAGACAACGGAGTCAGTTTGCTTATTGCCAAACAAACTTTTCAAGATGGTCTGCAGTGGTGACTTATTACTGGATGCTGCTGTGGCATTCTTGTCGCTCTCAGAGGTGGACTGGGTGGCAGCAACTGCAGCTGAGGTAGAGAAAGGAGGGTTTGTTCTAAAAGAATTATAACAAGATGGTAGGGCAACTGATCCAGAAGAGGACGAGTCTGGTGGTGACCCAGGGCAAAGTGGTGAGCCAGGAGGGGAGGTGTTAGCAGGAGTCTCAGGATCGTAGGGTTGAAATATTTCCAATTTGTCAGAACCATAGAGGACTGGGGGTTTTGGGATCCACATAGGGTCTTTGGACATATTAACTTTGGGTCTCTTCTCTTCAATTTCCTGAGGCAAGCTTCCTGGACGTTTTGTCTTTTGGATGACAGCCAGACCCAGAAGAAGATTTGGCCGGTTTTTTTCAAAACCTGTGAAATTAACAAAAAGTACAAATATAGAATTAGAACAGGTTAAAAACTAACAATGGGCTTCCCATTATTGATTTTTTTTACTTTTGCCAGAAAGGTAAAACAGTTATTCAGATTCACAAAAGAAAAGGTTCTGGGACCAATAATGAAATTATCTGACACCAAAAACGAATCATAAGAGAGGGAAGTGAGCAATTTTCTCCTTATTAGGGATAACAGATGTTAACATTTTGTTCAGGAGATGGAACAGCCCCTGCTGTTCCACATTCAGACCCCTTAAAGATCTCCTATCATGCAACTTTTAGGGATATATACAAATATATAAAAAAACATGTCTATGATGTTTTTTGCTCAAAATACCAAACCAATCATGCATTTTAGACATCCCTCATATCCCTCTATTTCAGCCCTCTTATGGCGCATTTCCACCATGGCGCGGAGCGTGGTTTAAGCGTGCCGTGTCGTGCCGGGCCCGTTTTTGGTTGCGTTTCCACTATGCCTAGTTCCGGCCCGGGACTACTTTTTGACCTTTTTTTTGGCCCGACAAAATCGTGGTTCTGGCAAGGGGGCTACAACTACAACAAGATGAACATATTTGACCGTGATTTAATTGTAATACACGTTTCAAAATGATGCCGAAGTAACAACATACTGATACCGGTTAGTAAAAACCATGAATTAATGCTTTGACAAGTCTGCAGACAGACGGCAGGCGAAAAACCTTTTAAAATGCGCGTTGTCTAAATGGAGATCGGCTAAGCTAACGCAATATATGCTCCGACCGTCCACACTCACAACAACGGCCTATACAGACATAAATAAACCAGCGACTGTACTCACCATGACACAGACAGTCTGTGGTTTGTACTTGTTTAACTTTTGTCTAGTTTCTGAACAGATATGAGGAGCTGTGAGCTTGAGTGCTAACAGCTAACGGCTGATGTTGTTTTTCTGGGGTGCTCATTGAAGATGACGTTACGGCTCCGCCTACACTGCGTTACTATAGATACTAGCCCAGTTCCTAAACTGTAATGGAAGTGCAGCATTAAAGTGAGCTGGGCCTAACAAGGCCTAACAAAACCGTACTAAGTCGAGCGAGGCCTGCGGTGGAAATGCGCCATTAGAGAACTGCTGATTGTGGGTGTTTCTCAATCTCGAGTAAAGCTGCTCCAGAGCCACTATTTCAAGCATACTACGTCATCGAGTGCCGCCGAAGTACTGTTCCAATGTCCAGCATACTTGGAATTCTACCGAGCCCGGCGTACTTCGTTTGGAGAAATTTCGAGGCTGCACATGTGTAGACTCCGTGGTCTTAAAATCCCCACAATGCTTTGCGCACGGACCAATTTCCCCAAATCTGTGGTGGAAAATGTAAGGCGGGGCCTCTCATATGACGCAGACCTGCACACTTGCTAGCCTGTTCCACTCTTTGTTTTCCGAATGCCAGGAATTATTCTTGCCTCGCTTCTGTAGCAAGTGACTCGGAAGACATGTGCTACCAAGCAAGCGTACTCGACATTGAGAAACACCCTGTGACTGTAGCTGCTGGCCCCGCCCCCTTTTGAGCACGTCAAGGCAAGCTGTGAGCTGCAGAGGGAAGAGAGATTTCTACCAGCAGATACAGCTAAATGCTGCCGTGATTAAATGCCATATCAAGGTTCAAGGTTCAAGGTTCTTTATTGTCAATCTGACATAGCTACAGAGTAATTATGCAGTTGAAAATCTTATGTCACAGGCTTCTCCAACAATGCAACATAATAACATAACATAATAACAATAAGAGCATGAGCAATACAAAATAATAATAGTTATAAAAATGAAATAAAGTTATGATGTGGAATAGTGCAGTATGAGTCTATATACAAGTTATTGGAATGATATATATATATTAGGTATTAGATACATACTACTGAGTAGCAGTTGAATGTTTGAAGTTGTTTCAACAGTTCAATTTTTTAACAGTCTCACTGCCCGCGGGAAGAAACTGTCTCCGAATCTTCTTGTCCTTGCCAGGATGCTGCGGTAACGTCTGCCAGACGGCAACAGAAAGAACAGTTTGTGGCTGGGGTGATGGGGGTCTTTGATAATCCGTAGTGATTTCTTCCTGAGCCGCTGGGAGTAAAGGTCCTCCATGGATGGCAGCTCCGTCCTGGTGATGTGCTGTGCAGTTTTCACCACCCTCTGTAAAGCCTTACGATCGAGGTCGGTGCAGCTGCCGTACCAGGCCGTCATGCTGCCAGTGAGGATACTCTCTATCGTGCACCTGTAGAAGTTGCAGAGTATCCTGGAATCCATTTTGAACCTCCTCAACCTGCGGAGGAAGAAGAGCCGCTGTCGAGCTTTCTTGGTGATGGTGGTGGTGTGAAGAGACCATGTCAGGTCCTCAGTGATGTGGACCCCAAGGAACCTGAAGCTTTTGACTCTCTCCACCGTAGTCCCATTGATGGCGATGGGGGCGTGTCCCTCTCCCTGCTGCTTCCTGTAGTCCACAATCAGCTCCTTTGTTTTGCTGATGTTGAGATGGAGGTTGTTCTCCTGGCACCAAGATGTCAGGTTTTCGACCTCCTCTCTGTACGCCGTCTCGTCATCGTCTGTGATCTGGCCGATGACGGTCGTGTCATCAGCAAACTTCACGATGGTGTTGGAGCTGTGTGTGGCCACGCAGTCGTGGGTGAACAGGGAGTAGAGGAGAGGGCTGAGCACGCAGCCTTGAGGGGCACCGGTGTTGAGAATCAGGGTGGAGGATGTGATATTTCCCACCCGCACTGCCTGGGGTCTGCCCGTCAGGAAGTTCAGGATCCAGTCACAGAGGGCGCTGTTGAGCCCGAGGTCTCTGAGCTTGATGGCCAGCTTGGAGGGCACAATGGTGTTGAATGCTGAACTGTAGTCAATGAACAGCATTCTCACATATGTGTTCCTGTTCTTCGGGTCCAGGTGTGAGAGGGCAGTGTGGAGGGTGAGGGCTATGGCGTCGTCTGTGGACCTGTTTGCTCTGTAGGCAAACTGCAGGGGGTCCAGAGATTCAGGGAGGGAGGAGGTGATGAATAATTTGACTAACCGCTCAAAGCACTTCATTATGATGGAGGTGAGTGCTACTGGGCGGTAGTCGTTGGGGCAGGTGATGATTGTCTTTTTGGGGACAGGAATGATGGTGGAGTGTTTAAGACATGTAGGGACTACAGACTGCAGCAGGGACCTGTTGAAGATGTCTGTGAACACCTCTGCCAGCTGAACTGCACACACCCTGAGAACACGGCCAGGGATGCCATCAGGTCCAGGAGCCTTGTGTGGGTTAACCCTTTTAAAGGATTTACACACATCTGCCCTATTTAAAACAAAAGGGCAGTGTAGCTCCTGGTCCCTCTGTACCTCCACAGCCTGGCTGCTCTCAAAGCGTGCAAAAAAACTGTTTAGCTCATCTGGGAGAGATGCGCACGCAGACACTCCCGCAGCACCCCCCGCTGCTCCTTTGTAGTCAGTCATTGTCCTTAGTCCCGCCCACATATTCCTAGTGTTACAGCCTTTGAAGTCAGATTCCACCTTGTCTTTGTACTGTCTCTTTGCATTTTTAATTGCTCTCCGGAGATCATACCTAGACTTCCTGTACTCCTCCAAATCTCCCGCTGTGTGCGCGAGAGTGCGCGCTTTCAGTTTGCCGCGCACCTCACCGTTTACCCAGGGCTTTTGATTTGGGAATGTCCGTACAGAAACCTTCGGTACCACGTCATCGATGCATTTCCCAATGTAGCAGATGACAGTGTCCGTGTGTGTGTTGATGTTATTGTCCTCAAACACACTCCAATCCGTAGATGCAAAGCAATCCTGCAGTGCTGAATCTGACTCCTCGCTCCATCGTTGTACTGTCCTTGTTATCGGTCTGTCCCTTTTAAGTTTCTGCTTGTACGCAGGCAACAACAGTAGTGAGATATGGTCTGATTTGCCGAAGGGAGGGCGAGGGAGAGCCTTATATCCATTCCGGAAAGGGGAATAAACATGGTCCAGTATGTTTCCCCCGCGCGTCGGGAAGTTGATGTGTTGGTAATATTTTGGCAAAACCTTCTTCATGTTGGCGGTGTTGAAATCTCCGGCCACAACGAACGCCGCATCTGGCCGTGAAGTCTCGGTTTTATCAATAAACCCAAACAGCTGATCGAGTGCCGTGTTGTTGTCGGCGAGTGGCTGCGGCGGGATATCCACTGTTGTTATCACAACAGATGTGAATTCCCTCGGCAGATGGAAGGCCCGACATGAGATCATGAGGTGCTCTAGCTGTGCGGAACAGTCCGATGAAATAATCTTCACATCTGAGCACCAGTTGTTGTTAGTCATTACACACACACCGCCTCCCTTACTTTTCCCCGAGTTAGCAGTCCGGTCCTGACGAAAAATAGAGAATCCGTCAGGGACAATAGCGGAGTCCGGGATAGCGGGGTTGAGCCAAGTCTCAGTGAGAATTAACACGTTACAGTTCTTAATGTCCCGTTGAAAAGCAATCCGGCTTCTGAGTTCATCTAGCTTATTTTCAATGGATTGAACATTAGCCAGAAGAATACTCGGAAGAGGGGGCCGATTCTCTCGTTTTCTCAGTCTGACCAGCAACCCGGCCCGGCATCCCCGCTTTGTCTTCTTCTTGCGTCTCTCAGGTAGAACAGCAACAGGTAGCCATGGTGAATCTCCATTGTTTGTCGGAGGGTTAATATTGTCCACGAAGTTTCGCAATTGGAAAAGTTCCTCTCTGCTATATTGTATGGCAGAGTAGGTGCGGTCGGCTAGCATGTTGCGAACCATGTTAAAAGTAAAACGGCAAAAGTAAAAGAAATATGTACAAAATACGAAAATGGGCAAAGTTGGAGAGGAGCACAAAGACGATGCGGCCATCTTCACCGGCGCATCGGCGCATCATGTTCCAAACCACATCAAGGATTATATCTGAAACAATATGGAGCTCAAATGCCTTTTCTCTTGTGGGTTAACCACAAGGTGAGTTCCTTTTTTTATTTCCTGCTTTTTTACACATACTCTCTCCAGTACAGGTTAGCGCTGAGTGTTAGCGATGCTTGCTAATGTAAACAAAGATCATATTACGTCCAAAACACACCGTGCATTGTTTCTGATAGCGACGTTTCTGATAGGGCTGTCGGTCTAAAGCCAGCCCACATTTCCGATATTACGTCATATCGGCAGCAAATCTGGATCAGCACCGTTGTACCGCCGTTTTTAGCGATTTGGGTACGGAGGAAAAGAGTTTCTGACACTTTGTGAGTTCCCTGACACACCGGGGACACATATTTATGTATAAAAGCATGATAGGAGACCTTTAAATAATTAAAACAGGAAATGTATTCATTTATGGGGCTATAGCAGCCTCAAAGCTGTTGTGTTTCGTAATTGAAGGTGTTGACATAGCCCAAAAATACCAAAGGTTATCCTCCACTTTAAGATGTAAAGGATTATCACACCTGGTCCGTCAAGAGGTTGGAGTATGGTTGGGATTGATTCCTTTGCACTTAGTGGGACAAGGTATATATCTTTGATGGAACGGCTGCCATTGGCGACCACACCATAACGACCTCTGCTGTTGAAGTAGGAAAATAGGGAGACATAGGCCACCTCTTCCTCCTCTGTTGCAGGGTGAAACCGGATCACACATAACTCCTAATAAACAGAAAACAAAAATGATAAACGTGATATATTGATAGGTATCCAATGCTATTGTACAAGACACCAAAAGGAATTGAAAAACGACTGCTTGCCTTTGTAACAGAGGTCTTTAGTTTTGCAACATAGTCCCACACTGTTTGAGGCAGGATTCGTCCTGCTATTTGTATGGTGTCAGGTAGATCCTAAACACAAGGGAAAAAAAGCAAATATATTTTCTTTAACTCAACTGTTGATAATGTCAGATCTTTTTCAATACAATAACATGTATTATCGTGCACCACTATACCGCTTTGAGATTTTCAGCCGTTCCTGAAACCATATATCCTTTGGTGACAAACTTGGCCACAGAGAGCATGTTTAGGAAGCCTTTCCACACTATCTCATGCTTAGCCAAGAACTGGGAAGTTTCACCATCAGCTGGGGATTCAGAGATCACAGTCCTGGGACACAAAACACAACAGCATAATGATAATCATATTCACGCATGATGCTGATTTTGTCTCAAATGTAAACCACCTGACAAACAAAATAAGAGTTATTCTATTATAATGTTATTTAACCACCTTGAGGATGTCCCATAGAGTCTGGGATCAGCAGAGGATGATGGCTTCATTAAGATCGACTTGGGTAATGGTTTTGTTGGTGGTCCCAAGTACGTTGGTGCTGAGGGCGATGCAGAGGTAGTCTCTTGACGAATAGAATAAGATACTGATTGGTTATTGGTTGTGTTACTTGGACTGGATGTGCCTCTAGACCAAGAAGACCTGTTTGCGGCAGTGCGGGGGTCACGCCTTGTGATAGTAACTGTGGAGACTGCTGGGATCACAACTGGTGTGTAGGATCTCTTTTGTGTAGTCGTTTTAGGAGTGTCTGGAGTTGGGGAAGCAGGGGATTCCATGACAGGGGAGGCTGGAGAGTCCATTATAGGGGACGCTGGGGATTCAACGATAGTCAGCGCTGGAGCATCAATGATAAGACGTGGTGAATAATCCATTAGGGATGTTGGAGAATCCATGTCAGGTGAGTCAGGTGGGGCCCTCAGAGGAGAGTCATCTCCGGCACACTTTCTCCAAGAGGGTTCATATTTATCTCTTGTCTCAGAAATCTTGGGTTTTTTCTTTGCCGGTTCCTCGTCTTCCCCAGCGAGCATTTGACCTTCAGGAAAAAATAAGAATGTATTTAAAACACTTAATGTAACAATAAGTGGCCATTGGAAAATCATTTCTACAAAGTTTTTGTATAGCAATAGTGAAATCCCTTTTTAATTCACCTGTGCATATTTTGCATTTCAGGTCAAAGAGATGAGCTTTGTGCTCTGATGTTGTGTCCTTCAGCATGCAGGAGAGAATATCTGGTACAGCACTGCCCTGGTTCGGCTGGCTTGTTCTGGTCTTGGGAGCAAGAGCAGGAAGGTTTTTCTTTTGTTCCTGGAACGCAAACTTTACAGACACAAATAGAATTAAATCACAAAGATATCATAACATCCATGTACTTTCAGGATTTATTTTTATAAGGTGCAGGAGTAACACCTTAAGTACACACCGTGCTTCTAGCAGGTCTAGTGGGATTCAAACTTGGCAAATCCACCTTCACTGCCTCAGGCTTTTGCGACAAACTTGTCGCTTTAGCAGCTGCATTCTTAACCTAGATACAAAAAAGCAAAAGATAACCACTTCTGAAAACTTGATCCTTTAAGTTGAAGCACAATACCTGATTCTGTCTTGGTTGTTGTGTTTAATATCTATAACACTTTACCTCTGTAGTTTCTTTTGCACTTGGCTCTGATGCTTTGGTAGCCTGCATATCCTTCTGGCTCATTCTGGCCAGTCTGAAGGGACTGATCTCTCCACGTACGACACGATACAACAAGCCCTAAGGAAAACCCAAAACTGACTGTCAGTTTTCTAAAAATGTATCTATAACATGACTTAAAAAAACATGTCTCTTAGCAAATGTTTGCTGTATTGCAAGTAGAATAGAGATCACAAAACAGAAATGGGTTTTATCAACATTACACAAACCTTGTTTTTTGGGTCTTTCAGGTTGAACATAATAGTTCTGTACTTGTTCATGTATTTGCTGTCTGTGTTGCGAAATATGTTGAACATCTCCATCTCAATGCTTGAGACAAGCTTTGCTACGTCACTCTCGGGCATCTCCAAGTCCTCACAATCACACACCCTTAAAAAATTCAAACGCAGTTAGTAAAGAAAATTGCATCATTGCACTCAAATGTAGTTTAAAGTGAAAAATATATATTGGGCTATATTAATATTTTTTATAAAGTGCAGCATTTTCAGTTAAGTAATACATATACAGTATATCCTGATTACGTTTTATCTGTTAAAAAATTGATTAAATGACTAATTATAAAAGTGCAGAGGGTTGTGTTTCAATAACTGACTACATTATAAAGTAATCTGACCCAACCCTGCATGCTTATCAAATAATGTTTTTTTTATACATACTAAAACTATTCACAGCATTAACCCTCAGCAATAGGTCATATTAGTAAAATGTTGTAAGTGTAAATAATAGGACTTTTATACAAATCTTACACAGTTCTCACCTTTTGAACAGGATGCTGATGAGGGAGCGCTGGATGCTCTGTCTGACCTGGGTATTGGGCTGGGAGGGTCTGGAGGAGGGAGCACTGGGTGCAGGGGGCACCAGCAGATTTCTGGTTTCGTTCATCAGCGTTGGGGCAGAAGAAGGCTTTTGGCCCGACGTTGAGGCTGACAGGTGGCTGGACGGAGCCTGGGGGGCAGGGAGCTTCTTTGGTATGACGTACGCGGTCTTAGTGACAATAAGAGCCCCTGTTTCATGATGTCTGGGAGCTGAGGTGGAGGGGGATTGTGGGGCAGGAGGTACACTCGTTTTTGTTGGGTTTGGTGGTATAGAGGGATCTGAATAGGCAGATTGCTGCTGAGGCACTGCACTGTTGGTTGGCTGCTTTGCCTGTTCTTCAGAGTGGCTCTGTGTCGATGGTGTCTCAGCGGCAGGCTGGGAAGAGGGGGCAACATCAGTCGAGGTCTCACCTGCAGGTGGTTTGGAAGAAGTTGCAACCTCACTGTCTGCCTCTACCTGTTCATTGTCCTTTATAGCTGTTAGAAAAAAGAAAAGCAAGGCATCGTGTAAATATGAAGGACTATCTAATCTTTGTGACATAAACCAACTTGTGCAAGAAAAGGTGTTTTTAGAAATGTATTGAAAAATCGGATGGCTATAATTAAAACTATTATCTTTCCATTAAAAAAGGGACTTATAATTTACAGGGCTATGGGCTGACATTGGGAGAGGGGCCTGGTACACCCTGGTCAGCAGCCAGACAATACCAGGGTGTAGGAAGGGGTATTCTTTCAGTCATGTTGATGGTTACAGACACATAGATGCAGCAGAAACAGATTTTTCTATTTTTGCTTCATGCAATGTGCAAATCAACTTTCCTAAAATAATAATCCGTTTTCATTTTTTCTTCAAGTTTTTGCGAAGTTTAATTTCTCAAATCAAGGCTTTGTTAATATGACCTTTTAGGCCTATTTTACATGCTAAAGTGCTTTAAAGGTCCCAACAATATTCATGAGAAAGCTCAGTAAAACATTTGACAGACCCTCACTCACCAAAGGGTTTCAGGGGTAAAAGATAAATATCAATATCCCCTTCTCAAAAGAACAACACGCCTACAGTGAAGGCTCGAATGTGCGGTTTATGGAAGCACTCTCGCAGTTATTCCTTGTGTCCTCTAGTGACTTTCAATTTTGAAATATCACTAAAATGTTTATCTTCTTCCACAGTTCTCTCGTAGGATGCAACAACATTCACCTGCTTGGCAATATCCTTCTTTATTCTGTTTGCAGTAGGTAAAGGCCATTTGAAGGATATGAATAATAGTTGAATGCATTTGACATTTATGACAAGTATTCTCTGGTTCTCAAACCTGTGATAAATATGGCAGTAGTAAGATCATTTGTATACATATGAGGAAAATTGCATATTTGATTACAAATAAATGGATAAATGGGATCTATTGTCTGTTTTTGAGATGAATAGAATTCATGTGAAGCACCAAATCCAAGTCAGCAAGGAGATGCTTTGACTTTAATGTACTTAGAATAGTTTAACAAGCTGTTTCTCCATTTCCTGTCCATATTTATATAACTCCATGGCTCACATCGCAGGTGATAGAAAATCCTAGCGATAAAAAGATCAGCTTTTCCCTATTTGTCCCTACATACTTTGAATATGCTTCAACAAAAGTCTTAAGTTGTCCTTATTATTTATATAACTGCTGAGACAATTGCTTGATTCAATTGCTTATCTTCTTGACCTAACTGTCATTGCTTTTAAATTAATATTTTTAAATTAAATTGTTTTATATACATGTTTTCTTCCTTAAAGGTAGGGTAGATAAAAATGGAGAAACCAGCTCGAGTGCGCTAGAATTTGAAAGTATGCAGCCGAAAAAAATCTGCCCCTTCCTTCAGACTTCCTTATAGAGCCCCTCCTCCAACACACTCGAACGCGCACATGACCAATGAGGGCACGAGATAAGTTTGTGCACGAGATGGAAGGCTGACAGGCAGGTAGGCCATCCAGTTATTTTAGCCGGGCCGGCTTTTTACAGCGCCACGGCTTCCACAGATGACATTTTTTTATGGATTTATTGTCAAAGCATTAAATATATTCATTGCTATCGGGATGTTAAGAGCATTCCATGGAATATAACAAAAAGTGTTTCTAAAGTGAATTACCTACCCCACCTTCCTTAATTGCTAAATGACTGTATTGACTTTATACATTTTATTTACTTCAGCACCAATTAAAGCGTGTTCACCCTATGTGTTTTCTAAAGGTTTGAGGTACCTGTCATTTTCCATTCTCCTATTGAGAGCTAGTTACTTTACAGGGGTTGATTTTTTAACACAAAATATATGAAAAAGAAAAACTCAAATTAGTAGTTGATTAATCCTTTGTCGTAATTATTTAGCAAATATGTTTATAATTGTTTAGATGTGTAAAAACATCCATATTTGAAGCTTCACAAATTAAGGAATGAACTGCCTTTCATTTGAAAGATATTACTGTAGTCATTTATACAAAATAGTAAAAAATATGAATAATTATTACAAAATTAAAAAACAAGTTGACCTCAACCAGCTACAAATGAAATTTAAAATATTTACATTCCCAGGAGCCAATCTTTTGCATTTAGTAATTTTTATACATGCACTTATACTCAACCAATTGTACTTGCAATGGAGTATTTTAACAACTTTGTATAAGTGTTTTAATTAAATAAAGAATCTAATTATGTATTCCACCTATGCGTATACCCAAAATAAGTCATACTTTATTAAAAGTATTCAATTAATCCTCTGTTTTTGATTCATGAGAACTTGCGGATTGTGCATTCAGATTAAATGAGGTCAACTGTGGTGTGGGCTGCCCACTGCACCTCTTTTAATGTAAGTGCTCAGATAACTATCATAGTAGGAAGAAGGTCCGCATCTTTGTCACTTTATAGCATGCCTAAAAGGCACTAAGGCAGTGACAAGCTGTCCATTCAAAAAGGACTAATTATGTAAAGTGCATTGTAGTAAAAAGAAAAACAGGGAAACATCCTTTCATGGATCCGGAAACAGGAAGAGATTGAATGATCATGTTTTAGTTCATCATCCGTGGGCCGGTAGACCAACTAAACCAATGGAAAACTGAGTAAATAAGCTCAAAAAGTATATTAAAATCAGTTTCTGTACCTATAAAAGAAAAAGTAAAAATAATTAAGAATCTTTAGTTGTGCATGATTCTGATTTGAGAGTGTGTGTGTGTGTGTGTGTGTGTGTGTGTGTGTGTGTGTGTGTGTGTGTGTGTGTGTGTGTGTGTGTGTCAAGTAACAAATGTGTGGTATATATAAATACGATATATTTTACTATTTACTATATATATATATATTATACTCTTTTTATTCAAGCAATTGTTCAATGTGTGAAAAATCTCATTTTCTTCATACCAATGAAACTACGGTATACACTCTTCAAAAATACCTTTTCAATTCATATTTACATTAACAAACTAAAGTCAAACTAAATCATTTATATGAATGCAGTTCTCACATGATGACATGCATTTTCTTCTTTTAGGTCTTCAGTAATGATGCTTCAACTCGGTAGATATTTTCCTTTCATTTTTTGCATTTTTTCCTCTGAGGGTGAATTTCTGCCAGTTCCTCTCACTCTAATCTTCTGTGACACGTCATTCACTACCCTGACGCCACCATGGTTAGACACAATTATCTTTCTTGCAGCCAATCAGTCCTTAGATGCTGTTCTTTAAATATCACAGCAATTCTGTCAGACCTACTACTGTGCAGCCCACCATCTCCTCGAAGTGATTCAACTGAGATTTCATTAACCACCTGCTGGCTTTACTCCACCACCGCCAGCAGCCTTTCCACTCCTGGTATCCTGATGTATCTCTCATCATATGGACCTACGTTTAATTTAGAAGCCAGGCATCGATCGGGTCCAAACACCAAAACTGTTCTCTGTTGCTAACTCTAATAAACACTGATATTAAATACTGTTACACCCCAAACGGATCCCTCTGTTTGAAAATATATTCAATGTACACATCAATTGTGTTTTTGTGTTTTGCTGGATTGTACTCAAGATGTTGAGTATATGATGACATAACTCTAATCCCAACAGCATGTATCTTTTATCAAAGCACTGTTCTCTTTATATGTGTTAATAACACTTTAGGTATACATTATGAGCAGCGCCATTGTCTCTTTTATGAGTTACTGTTCACAATGAAAGATTTGATGGAGTATGATGTTTTATATATTTAATAGCTTTTCTTCTTTTCTAAAACGTACATATATTTGAAGAGGAGACCCTTCTTGCAGAATATAACCTCTGAGACTTGGATGCTTAGCGATTGCGGCTTTGCCGTTTTCTGTGATACTGCTGCTGGTTTAAAAAGCATTGAATGGTTTAGGCCCAAAATACATGTCTGACCTACTGCTAAATTATGAACCATCCAGATCTCTCAGGTCTTCAGGGACTGGTCAGCTTTCTGTCCCCAGAGTCAGAACTAAACATGGAGAAGCAGCGTTCAGTTATTATGCTCCAAATATCTGGAACAAACTCCCAGAAACCTGCAGGTCCGCTGCAACTCTTACTACTTTTAAATCCAGGCTGAAGACTTTTCTTTTTGCCGCTGCTTTTAATTGAGCTATTCACATCTTAAACTGCACGGTAACTTTTATCCATGTATTTTTTCTTTTAATGTTTATTTTATTATCTTTGCTTTTTAATGACTGTTTTTAAATGCCATTTTCTTAATGTCTTTCATTTTTGTAAAGCACTTTGAATTGCCTTGTGTTGAAAGGTGCTACATAAACTTGCCTTGCATTGCCTTGCCTAAGAATAAAATGACAACAAAATTGAAATATCTTACACCTTGAACTTGTTCTCAAACATTTAACATTCATTTCCTTGTGTTGAGTATAGGTACAAAGCCTGGTTTCAGACCTTTGAATTTCTGCTCCCATCTTTTATTTGTTAAGCGAAACAAATATAAATTCAGTCTTAAAGTCAGTAATTTAGATACTAACAAATCAACAACAGATCAGAACTCGTCATGTTCTGATCTGTAGTATTAACCTTTACCAGATAAACCACATTTCCACTTTAACAAATTAATTTGCCCAAATCAAATTAGCCAGGAACAGTAGGTTTCCACTTCCCTCGCTTTAGCTCTGCATTTGGTCACTTGCTTTCATGTGTGAACATTTTATATTTTCTCTAAAATGGCAATGACTACAGTGTGTGAATAGCCTAACAATGCCACATTTTTTTTTTTTTAAACATTCAAAGCTACAGATTGCATTTACAAACTGTCTTTACCTTTAAAGTCCATCTCACAAATGTGTCTAAATCCAATCCAATCCAATAATTGCTGAGATATTGCAGTCAGGACCAAAGTGGTTGAGTCACTGACTAACAGACTGTCATTGCCATCTATAGCCACTTCATTAGAGCGGCTAAAATACACTCTTAAAATAGAATCTACAAAACATTTAAGACAGTTAAATATTCGG